TACCTTATACTCACACAATTACACATAACAGAGCTCACATTTGCGTAGAACTTTCAGTTCCACCACATACAAACAAGTTTAAGAGGCTTGAATCCATCGCAGTGGACCTCTAAGGTTAAAGTTATCATGTAGCACGCAACACAATTAGCATTTAGCAATTAGCATTTAGCCGTAGCTTTAGGTACACTGTGACACCACACACATTTAGCATTTAGCATTAGCATTAGCCTTTAGCCAACTGCGGCCTACAACATGTAACAAAACCCCGCATTGCGTCTTTAATTGAGTACTGTTTCGTTTGTCCTAAATTTATTCTGCCGTGGGTATGGCTATTTCTACGAGCGATCCCCCCCAATGCAAATATCCCGTCGGACAGAAGCTGAGCAAGCCATCCCCAAGAAAATGTCCCACCAACCCCAGTCCCAGACTGACCTGGAAACTCCTAATGCATTTCCAGGATTTTGGCCCACCCTTTGGTCGCCCCGTGTGTCACGAGGGCTTATCTAAACCTGCAATGCTCTAAAATTGTATACATATCTTGGCCCCGACTGTTCTTGACTTACTATTCAAGCAACACATCTCTATAAACAATCCCTAAACTCTAACCACTTTTGCGCTATTTTTAAAATTTGTATAATGATTAGCCAGACCCCAGTCATCAGCAAAAACACCACCTGAGGCACGGTCATAATGGTACATTCCTCCAGTGTACACAAGCAGTAACAAAACTTAGCTGTGTTTAGTCGGGTCATGACTCCAGACCGAAGTTAGCTTGAGTTAGCTTGGCGACTCCAAATGCAGCAAAGAAGGATTGCAGAACCACTCCTGGCAAGCTCGCCATTTGTCGTATCGGATGAGTGGTGGCAATTATTGCTGATGAACAAAAGGAGTTGATCATAAGGTTTATTCAGATCACAAGCGTCAGCATGAGTGACAGACTCGCGAGGTCTGGAGAGCAGTGTCCTCCAATTCTAATGGCTGCTCTGCCCTATCTTCTTCGTGTACCCCTATTTATAAACAATGCAACAAGATGGGCTCCCTCTTCTGGCCAATCACCAGTCTACAACACACTTCTTGTCTATTGTATGTGACATTACACTAAACATTGCCTTTTGATACTAACATAACCAACATTCCATTTCTTCATGAAAAACATTTAACAAAGACATAATCTTAATACACTACACTATATATACAGGGGGGTACCGGTGCAGAGTCAATGTGCGGGGGCACCGGCTAGTTGAGGTAGTTTAAGTAATATGTACATGTGGGTAGAGTTAAAGTGACTATGCATAAATAATTAACAGAGTAGCAGCAGCGTAAAAAGATGGGGTGGGGGTGGGGGGGCAGTGCAAATAGTCCGGGTAGCCACTATTAGCTGTTCAGGAGTCTTATGGCTTGGGGATAGAAGCTGTTGAGAAGTCTTTTGGACCTAGACTTGGCACTCCGGTACCGCTTGCCGTGCGGTAGCAGAGAGAACAGTCTATGACTAGGGTGGCTGGAGTCTTTGACAATTTTGAGGTCCTTCCTCTGACACCGCCTGGTATAGAGGTCCTGGATGGCAGGAAGCTTGGCCCCAGTGATGTACTGGGCCGTACGCACTACCCTCTGTAGTGCCTTGCGGTTGGAGGCCAAGCAGTTGCCATACCAGGCAGTGATGCAACCAGTCAGGATGCTCTCGATGGTGCAGCTGTAGAATCTCCTGAGGGGGAATAGGCTTTGTCTTGGTGTGTTTGGACCATGATAGTTCATTGGTGATGTGGACACCAAGGAACTTGAAGCTCTCAACCTGTTCCACTACAGCCCCGTCGATGAGAATGGGGGCGTGCTCAGTCCTCTTTTTTTCCCTGTAGTCCACAATCATCTCCTTTGTCTTGGTCACGTTGAGGGAGAGGTTGTTATCCTGGCACCACACGACCAGGTCTCTGACCTCCTCCCTATAGGCTGTCTCATCGTTGTCGGTGATCAGTCCTACCACTGTTGTGTCGTCGGCAAACTTAATGATGGTGTTGGAGTCGTGCCTGGCCATGCAGTCATGGGTGAACAGGGAGTACAGGAGGGGACTGAGCACGCACCCCTGAGGGGCCCCCGTGTTGAGGATTAGTGTGGCAGATGTGTTGTTACCTACCCTTACCACCTGGGGGCGGCCCGTCAGGAAGTCCAGGATCCAGTTGCAGAGGGAGGTGTTTAGTCCCAGGAAACCTTAGCTTAGTGATGAGCTTTGAGGGCACTATGGTGTTGAATGCTGAGCTGTAGTCAATGAATACCATTCTCACGTAGGTGTTCCTCTTGTCCAGGTGGGAAAGGGCAGTGTGGAGTGCAATAGAGATTGCATCATCTGTGGATCTGTTGGGGCAGTATGCAAATTGGAGTGGGTCTAGGGTTTCTGGGATAATGGTGTTGATGTGAGCCATGACCAGCCTTTCAAAGCACTTCATTGCTACAGACGTCAGTGCTACGAGTCGGTAGTCATTTAGGCAGGTTATCTTAGTGTCCTTGGGCACGGGGACTATGGTGGTCTGCTTGAAACATGTTGGTATTACAGACTCAGTCAGGGACATGTTGAAGCACAGTTGGTCAGCACATGCTCGGAGTACACGTCCTGGTAATCCATCTGGCCCTGCGGCCTTGTGAATGTTGACCTGCTTAAAAGTCTTACTCACATCGGCTACGGAGAGCGTGATCACATAGTCATCCGTCGTTCAAAATCAGACCCCACTGCGATCTGCTGCAGTCACTGTTTATGTTCTACCTCTTTGTCTAAAGTGAGTGCTGTGCCTTTCACTAGAAAAACAATACCCTCAACAACCTAAATGCAGACACATTGAATGCAGCGAAGGTAAGTAGGAAAACTATTTTTGAGTGAACGCCTATTTAACATATAAATCATCACCTTGCTGGCAATCTGCAATTACCCAACATAGTGTACATTGTATAGACCACATGAATGTTAACAATAGTGTATGTTTTCACAATCACTAATATAGGATTTTAGTGGTAGAACTATACTTTTGTGTAATTAGACAAAGTTTTTATGATGCTTGAAAAAAGAGTAATCAGCTATGAATTCCTTACTGTTTTTGTGAAATAAAGATTTTATCCTAAAAGACTGAATGGATGAATCTGTCTTTCATGTAGATTTTTTAGAGCTACCAATTTATTGTTTCACTGTCAAATCTATATTTCTCAAGACTGCAGGTAACATATATTTCCTGTGTATGCATTATTTGAAACTTATTCAAATGAAACATTACAGTTACAATAAAATTACATTATAATTACAATGATCATCAAACAATAGAAATATCTAAGACATGGAGACAGTGAGACTAATCATAATGGCAACTGTTGCGGCTGTCCATTCGTGAACCAATATGACATTTAGAGAGAAAGACACTCCCGTTAAATGTACAGGGAGGGACAGGCTAATAATATACCGTAACTGCCCACTGAGTTGAATCCATGTCATTTCAACAAAAGATAATGCAAATTGTCCATGTGATGACATTGTATCAACATGGAAGACCTATTGGGTTTGCAAAACGGGATACATGTTTTTTCCCCTCCCACTTTTAACCAAAATGGCTAGAAGTTTTGTTGATTTCACATAGAATTCACGTTAGTTAACAACTCAATCAAATATTGGCTAGTCATTGAACTGACATCTGTGCACAGCGGGTGCATGGATAATCTCAGATGCTTGCAGTAAATTGTTGGCACCACATCCAATCTCATAGTACTAGGCCTTGGAGGCGCCTGTAGAGCTTAGTTTGAGCCATCGCACTTTTCCCCTCGTCTGTCTTATCTCCCCTCATCATCACATGAGGCGGACAGCTGGGCACGGGCTGGAGGGGGCAGGGCCCATTTTACCTTAAAGGCTGACCTGTGCCACGCAAACAGAGTGGTGTTGTCAAGGCTATAGCTGACGTGTCACATTCCAGGGAGACAATTCATCACCTGGGACACAATAACTGGCTGAGGTGTTTCTGCGGACATGGTGTGGTATTGTGTGGCCTTGACACATTGTATGGTCTGGTCCACTACTGTTGTGTGAGGGGTGTTCGGCGAACACCTGTCCCTGCCGCCTGCTCTACGTTGGGTGTAATAGCAGCCTTGCTTCCCTCAGAGTGCAAAGGGAGGGAAATGTACACCAATGAGGACAAAGGATGGACGGACGTCCCTTTATGTCATTCATTCATGCTCAACAGGTGTGTGCATGCAGTCAAAACTGAATTCTGAGGAGGCACTTACTGCAAAGCACAATGCCCCGACCTTCACACAATTCAAATGTCCACAAGTTTGCTTATCCATGGTGTGTGTTTGTCTTGGAGACTTGGGATGTCTGTAAACAATAGATTGGATGTTTTTCCTAAACAGACACATTATGTAATGAATGATCACCGGTTCAAATCAGATCCTTATTGAAAATCAGTCACACAAGTCCAATGTGAAAGTGTACCTTGTTCAGGCAAAAGTGACTTTGTACAATTCTGGCAGGTTGGAGACAGGTTAGAGACTCGAAACAGTACTGCAACAGTCATAGCGTTGATGAAGAACCAATTATGACCCTCAGATAAGCTACCCTATTGCTCTACTGATCCATCTTACAGAGAAAAAGGAAAAGAGAATGGTGTTGTTTGATGTACCCCCATAAAAAAGGCCTGTTTGTTCAAAGCTGTTTTGTCAAAGCTTCTAAGAAAACTGCAAAGTGTGATGAATTATTCAGCAGGGGCTATCGGTTTTCTTTAGGTCGCTTTTCTCTGTTACCATGGTAGAAATACATGCATTATTTACTGGTCCTGTACTGTAACTCCAAGAGTGAGGCAGTTTAGGACTGCCAGTCTTTTTTAGAACTCTTCAAACTCTGAGGATTACTCTTTAGTAATCTATGAGGATTTGTTTTTTGTCTAGTCTAGGTGGTTATGTTAAGCTTTGAATGAAAGAAGAAGGGGAATGCAAAGCGCCTTTCTGGACTATGTAATCTACTACTGGGTTTTCCAATGGAGGGGACAATGAAAACACCGCCCGGCGAAGAGATGCCCCAGAAGCGGGTGAGGTTCCGCGTGGCTTCGGGGAACAGTGGTCGGGTGCTGAAGGAGATTTTTAAAGATAAGGGGCCATCTGACTCGTTAGATTCAGATTGTACCAGTAGTTCGGATGCGGACCGGGCCAGTACGCCTTCCACAAGTGGAGATACTAACAGACATGGTTTTCTGCATGGGTTTCTGGGCTCCGAGTTGGATGATAGCGAGAATGAGTGGGATGATCTGCTCATGTATGCTGGGGCCTCAAAGGACAGAGCACCGATTAGCCACAAGCGTGTCAACATCCTCAGCAAAAATGGGACTGTGAGGGGTGTCAAGCACAAAGTCAGTGCAGGTCAGGCCTTATTTGAAAACCTCCCTAATGCATGTGGGGTAAGTGATCTTTGTACCCTTTCAGTGTTTTCATAGTTCTCATAGTTTTTACAGCTGTTTGAAGCTGGTGGACCAAAACAACATTTACTTTCGGTTTTGGTCCACTAGCTTCAAACAGCTGTAAAACCGATATTTTGATGTTACAATCATTCCCTACACTATTCAGTGCTTGTTTTCTCACATAAACTGAAATTGAGCGAACAGTGTAGTATTTTAGCAACCAGGACATTTATGATATCCACTAGATAACACAGCCACAAAGTCAGAACAGCTTTCCCAGTTTGACAAAAGATGCCGCTCCAACAACAAAAGAGTGATCAAATTAAGATCCTACATCTGTATGGACAACTAAAGCTCGATTTGGTGGTAATGGAATGAGGCCTGTGAAAAGAGTAGATGGAGAATAGATAGTGCTGACAGCCAGGCGTAGAGAGGTTACTCAGAGGTGTAGTCGATACTCAACACTGCAGGATTTGGTGTACTGTACACTAGTTATTATTAAGTAACTGGTTCCACAGCCATTTTTAGTTTACTCAACTTTTCGTTCAAAGTGATACCTGAACTTAACTCTTTTAGTTGACCCAAACTTAGCTCCAACTTGAGAAAGATTTGCTAAAATGTTGTCAACTTAAAATGATGTGTTTGCTCAACTTATTTGGGCATCTTAATTAAAAAAGGCTGTGGAATTAATTACACACACAATGTTTTTCAATTTACATATTTGACATACATGATTACATTGTGCGTGTTCATTCATACAGTCCTTGTTTTTTGGCATGTCCTCACCTGGGATTTGAACTCCCAACCTCTTGGTTCACAGTATTCCGATCTTCCTGCTACGCCACCATGTCTGTGTCAATTACTGATTGTACCTGTATTGCTACACTTTGCACTTCAAAGTAAATCTCAGCTCTGTTAAAAGTACACTCAAGAAAATCTGTTTTATTTATCATAGTGATTAAGGAGTTATATTAAAACAGAGTAATATGCCCCATCAACATTAGACAACTATACAGAAAACCCCTAAAATTGCTGATACTGGAGTGGTAGGGTTGGATTATATTCGCGTCTACATTAGGTTTTGATTGGCCAATGCATGTTAAAGTGAGTTTTTCCCCTTCTTTTTTATCTGTCAATACTAGGGCTGTGGCGGTCTCGAAATTTCATCAGCCGGTGATTGTCAAGCAAATAACTGTGTCAAGCAAATAACTGTCGGTCTCACGGTAATTGACCGTTAATGAACATAAACACATTTAGCAGCTCCTGGCTTCCACACATAGCCTACAAGCCACTGATGCAGACCATTAGAACATCTACATTTAAAAAAGTATAATAAATCCATGTAATATAGCCTACACCTTTACAATAAATCCATTATTTATTTTAGACAGGTCTAAAAAAAGCATGATATGAAGAAAATTGAGTCTATTTCAGAAGAACAGAATAGCATACTCTGAGTTGTCCTTATGTTAGGTCCTGATCTGGCTATGCCAAATGGCTGTGGGCCACACTAGTTCATTTAGCAGACAAGATTTGCTTAGAATTCTATGGCATTATTTTATAGTATGAAGAATACAATTGAACAAAGCTGAATAGAAAATATATATTCTCCAAATAATTTGAGGGAGTGCGCACATTCTGTGTTGAGCGGTTAACAAAGAAATAGGTACTCCTTATACTTAATTTACAGTTATTAATGTAACTTTAGTTGTTCTACGAACGTTGGGCTATATGTTTTGATTTTTAATACATTGTAAGGCTGCATGATGCGACGCTAATGATGATTTGAAAAAGTTGCTTGAAAGGCATGAGCTCTGCTTTCATTTTTGCGCAGGCTCTACACACTTCATCGATCTCTCTTTCACAATTTTACATGCACTTGATAATGCCTCGAATTTCACGGGGGCATCCCCTTTGTGTGGCCGTAATGCATCCTAAAAAAATCCATGCCTTTTGCGGCCAGTGGCCGTTGTGCCCTTGGCCTGGACTGCTGCGCTGTGCCCTTCTCCCTGAGTGCTGCACGCTCCGAAGCACCTCTCACTCACATGGCTCTCCATCAGTGATCGGGTCTTTCTCACAGGCTACAAGTGAAGACAGACACATCGGGGACGCAACTGCGTGTGTCCTTATTCAAATCCACGGTGCATACTGAAGATATTGTAATAACTGTCGACATTTACTTTTCATCAGCCAACAAGATGAGTAGGCCTAACGAACAGCAAAAACACTAGCCTATGTCAATCTACTATCCCCCATAGTACAAAAGTTGACCTATTCTATTCTGTGCGAGAAATAAATAATCCAAACATAGTCTGGGACAGTTGTGGGATGCGATAGATCCCAAATTAATACAACCACTAGCATCAAAAAACCTGTGGCTGATGCAACAGATCAGAACGTTTAGCTTAAAATGTTGATAAACTATTAGGCTATTTCTTCACATTATAAGCGCAGCAATGCGCACATGGCAGTAGGCTATAAGAGCGAATGTTCCATTAGCAGGAGAACACCATTATCAAAAGTGACAGCAAATGCAATTATGCATGTAATGCTTTTATTATAAAGGTGCATTTTTATGGTGAAAATTATCTTCCCCAAACTTGAAACACACACTGCTTATGTATGCCAGTTAGGCTCTACACCCCTTGTAAAGCGGATTAATGTGCTTAATTTTAAGAAGTTATTTGGCCAGTTTAGTTGTGATACAAACCATCAGACTATTCTTGATTTAATCTTGTCTTTACATATACTAAATCATATATGTGTGATTTGTTTTGATTTAGAATGGACCATTCTCATGCACCTGTCTCGAAACAGGGGCAGCGGGAAAGAAATGTCATCTATGCACTTAAATAGCGAATGGAGGACGCTTTTCCCGTGGTTCATTTTCATGCCAGCCAGGTAGGCCATACTCCTGTTGTAAAGATAAGCAATGTGCATAATATTAGGAAAGTTGAGAAATAAATATAGTAGGCCTGACCTATAGAAAGCTGAGAGATCCTCCTCTTTTTGGTAGAGGCCATCACTCTGTTTTCTCGCACAATTGCATAGCCTACAGAAATGTTGTGCAACATGAGCTCATGGGCTCTCATGAAGTGTTTGATTAGATATCCGATTACATTTGCATTGATGTCAGAGTGATTAGAAGGACAATAGAGTGCTGAGTAGCAGCCAGTTAGCAAGTTTGGTAGGCTACTAATGACCATCAGCAGCATCAGAGCTTGGAGAATCCTAATTACCGTGACTAAACGGTCACGTGGAATTTGACTGCCTTCATGACTCGTGACCGCTGGTGTGGCGGTAATACGGTCACCACAACAGCCCTAGTCAATACTCCATATTCCTGAACAACATATGGGACCTCAGCTGAAAACGCTATTCCCTAAATGGTCACCAGATGGCGCCGCGATCGGTTCGCTAGTTTTTCGGAAAAGGGGTTTTGAAATATTAGCATTATCCAATAGGCACATTTTGAAAAGACCTCCAAGAAATTACACAAAGTTGTCAACAGTGACACTCGAATCACAGAGAACGATTAATTATGACCACTTCCTGGCCGTGTGGTGCCAGGATAACAACCTCTCCCTCAACGTGATCAAGACAAAGGAGATGATTATGGACTACATGGAAAAAAAAGAGGACTGAGCACGCCCCCATTCTCATTGACGGGGCTGTAGTGGAACAGGTTGAGAGCTTCAAGTTCCTTGGTGTCCACATCACCAACAAACTATCATGGTCCAAACACACCAAGACAGTCGTGAAGAGGGCACGACGAAGCCTATTCCCCCTCAGGAGACTGAAAATATTTGGCATGTGTCCTCAGATCCTCAAAAAGTTCTACAGCTGCTCCATCGAGAGCATCCTGACTGGTTGCATCACCGCCTGGTATGGCAACTGCTCGGCCTCTGACCGCAAGGCACTACAGAGGGTAGTGCGTACGACCCAGTACATCACTGGGGCCAAGCTTCCTGCCATCCAGGACCTCTATACCAGGCGGTGTCAGAGGAAGGCCCAAAAATGATCAAAGACTCCAGCCACCCTAGTCATAGACTGTTCTCTCTGCTACCGCACAGCAAGCGGTACCGGAACGCCAAGTCTAGGTCCAAAAGACTTCTTAACAGCTTCTACCCCCAAGCCATAAGACAGCTAATCATGGCTACCCGGACTATTTGCATTGCTCCCCACCCTACCCCACCATCACACCCCACCCCACCCCATCCCCCTCTTTTACACTGCTGCTACTCGGTTTATTATTTATGCATAGTCACTTTAACTATACCCACATGTACATATTACCTAAATTACCTCGACTAACAGGTGCCCCCGCACATTGACTCTGTACCGGTACCCCCTGTATATTATGGAGGACTAAAAGTGCCACAATTAAATAAATAAATACACCATTAAATAATTACTTAAATGTGTCATTAATTAATTAAAATTAGAATTAAATACATAAATGTGTAATTAAATGTATCATTAATTAATTCAAATACCGATTCATTTTATGTAAAATACATATATAATAATTTCACTATTTACATTTACATTTCATGGTCCTGCGTTGGAGTGCTTCCTGAATTACTTAAAACTGTCAAACTGACCCATCAAAAGTTGGTAGGCGGAACCTAACGCCTGATTGGTTACCCTCTGCATCAAGCCAAGACAAATCAATTCCGGATAATGTCAGCAGGTCCTGCTTCTACATCCTCTGCTAAGTTTAAAATGTCTCTAACCAACTCCCTGGAAAGTTCACGGAGATCCTCCATTGTCTCTATCCAGGTTGGCCTACTCTACTTCAGACCAAATCAATGGATCAGACTAGATTTGCGTTAGCCCCGCCCACTGACTTTGATGGGTCAGTTTGACAGTTTTAAGTAATTCATGAATCACTGCAATGCAGGATCATGAAATGTAAATGTAAATAGTGAAATAATTATATATGTATTTTACATAAAATGAATCGGTATTTGAATTAATTAATGATACATTTAATTACACATTTATGTATTTAATTCTAATTTTAATTAATTAATGACACATTTAAGTAATTATTTAATGGTGTATTTATTTATTTAATTGTGGCACTTTTAGTCCTCCATAGTATATAGCATCCCTACTGTTATTTTATTTCACTGCTACTCTTTAATTATTTGCTATTTTTTACTTATCTCTTTTTTACTTAACACTTTTTTTTTTTTCTTAAAAACTGCATTGTTGGTTAAGGGCTTGTAAGTAAGCATTTCACTGTTATGTCTACACCTGTTGTATTTGGCGCATGTGGCAAATCAAATTTGATTTGATTCCTTCTGTTTGAATATTCGAGACAGGTGTTGTTGATTTAATTAAAAACAATATTTTCTAAGCTATCTTTTAAAGCAAACAAGGAAGGAAAGCTAACTAATTATACATGGTGCTAAGAGGCTAATATTTCATTTTTGTTGAAGGAGAAACAGAAAAAGATAAACAGAATTAGGATTACAGATCATACAGTCTCATTCAAAGTGAGAAATGCAGCATGTCCTCATTGGAGAGCAATCTGTTTTGAGCTGGGCCCAGTTGCATAAAACATCTTAAGTATTTCCCTTAAGGAAAATGTTTACCTTACCTAAGGGAATTGTTTAAGGGCGTTGCATAGAGCCCCTCAAATATTTCCTTAGGTAAGGGCATACGTAAGGGGTTTTAAGATAGTTTGAAGGCATGTATGGCAGAAACAGTATCCAGCAAAATTAAGGCAGTTGTACAATTAAAAAAACATCACAATACATTCACAACAGATTTCAAAACACATTAAGTGTGTCCGTTCAGGCCCCTACTATACTACTACAACATATCTACAACACAAAATCCATGTGTACATGTGTATAGTGCGTATGTTATCATGTGTTTGTTTCCATGTGTTTGTGCCTATGTTTGTGTTGCTTCACAGTCGCCGGTGTTCCATAAGGTGTATTTTTATCTATTTTTAAATCTAATTTTACTGCTTGCATGAGTTGATGGGGAATAGAGTTCCATGTAGTCATGGCTCTATGTAGTACTGTGTGCCTCCCATAGTCTGTTCTGGACTGTGAAGAGACCTCTGGTGGCATGTCTTGTGTGGTATGCATGGGTGTCTGAGTTGTGTGCCAGTAGTTCATGCTTGGTGCATTCAACATGTCAATACTTCTCACAAATACAAGTAGTGATGAAGTCAATCTCTCCTCCATTTTGAGCCAGGAGAGATTGACATGCATATTATTAATGTTAGCTCTCTGTGTACATCCAAGGGCCAGCCGTGCTGCCCTGTTCTGAGCCAACTGCAATTTTCCTAAGTCCCTCTTTGTGGCACCTGACCACATGACTGAACAGTAGTCCAGGTGCGAACAAAACTAGGGCCTGTAGGACCTGCCTTGTTGATAATGCTGTTAAAAAGGCAGAACAGCGCTTTATTATGGACAGACTTCTCCCCTTAGCTACTGTTGTATCAATATGTTTTGACCATGACAGTTTACAATCCAGGGTTTCTCCAAGCAGTTTAGTCACCTCAACTTGCTCATTTTCCACATTATTCATTAAAATATTTAATTGAGGTTTAGGGTTTAGTGAATGATTTGTCCCAAATACAATGCGTTTAGTTTTTGAAATATTTAGGACTAACTTATTCCTTGCCACCCCATTCTGAAACTAACTGCAGCTCTTTGTTAAGTGTTGCAGTCATTTCAGTCTGTCACGGATTCAGCCGAGGCTGCTCCTCCTCCTTGCTCGGGCAGGCTTCGGCGTACGTCGTCCCCGGAGTACTAGCTGCTACCGATCTATGTTTCGGTGGTCGTCTTGTTTGGTCTTTATTGTTTACACCTGTTTCCCATTATGTTACATTGTATTCCCTTTATAACCCCCTGTCTCTCATTGGTTATTGTGTGTGATTGTTTTCCGTAAGGTCGGCATTGCTGTTTGTATGCGAGTATTGTTTCCTCCCTGTTAGGAGGTTTTGTTTTGTATGTTCCTTTACTGTGTAGTAAAGTACGTCTGCCAGTAGCTCGGTGTCCTGCGCTTGACTTCGCTCACCGCATACACGTCACCTTGACAGAATCACTCACACACCACACATGGAGTCAGCAGGAGCGGCGGTGCCAGCTGGATCAATGGAAGAACGCGTCGAACAACAAGCGGCCATGATCCAGGCTCTCGGCACCGCCATGGAACGGGTGGTGAGCACTATGGAGCGATGGGAAAGAGGGGGTCTGCCTACACCTCCTCCGACGATACCACCACCATCGGCGATGCCCATCGCTCCACCTCCGGGGTCCAGTGGGATTCGGCTCTCGCTCCCGAGGGCTTATGATGGCACAGCTGCCGGGTGTCAGGGTTTCCTGCTCCAGGTGTCCGCTCTCATCTCCTGTCTGTCCGGCAAGGCGCTGGAGTGGGCCAACGCCGAGTGGGGGGGAATAGACGCCGCTACTGTCAACTATGCAGAGTTCACCTGCCGCTTCAGGGCAGTATTCGATCATCCACCAGAGGGTAAAGCGGCGGGTGAGCGTCTATTCCACCTCAGACAGGGGAGGAGGAGCGCACAGGAGTTTGCACTGGACTTCCGGACGCTGGCTGCCAACGCGGGATGGAATGAGAGGGCCCTCATCGACCACTACAGATGTAGCCTGAGAGAGGACGTGCGTCGGGAATTGGCCTGCAGGGACACCAACCTCAGCTTCGATCAACTGGTGGACATGTCTATTCGCCTGGATACCCTGTTGGCTACCCGCGGACGTCCGGATTCAGGGCCGTCCATTCCATCCCTCAGCACTTTCGAGCCGACCCCTATGGAGCTCGGAGGTGCTGGTGCTAGGGAGACCAGGAGATAGACCAGGAGAGAGGCCATCCCCTGCACCAACTGTGGCTGCAGAGGACACACTGCTGGTCGGTGCTGGGGAGGGTCTCCTAGGGATCGAGGCAGTAGGCAGCGCACTGATGAGTCATTCCAGGTGAGTAGGCACCCAACTCACCCATAGCTCTCTGTTGCGCATATGTGTATTAAAGTTGTGTTTCCCGAGGTTTCTCCCAGCATAAGGCGCTAGTAGATTCAGGCGCAGCTGGGAATTTTATCGATCGCCAATTCACCTATAAGTTAGGGATTCCTATTGTACCTGTTGATGTGCCCTTCCCCATCCATGCCCTAGATAGCCGCCCTTTGGGGTCAGGATTGATTAGGGAAGTCACAGCGCCTCTCAGGATGAAAACGCAGGAGAGCCATGAGGAGATTGATTCTCCTGCGTTTCCCGTGGTGTTGGGGCTTCCCTGGTTAACATCTCATGACCCCAACATTTCATGGCAACAGAGGGCTCTCAAGGGAGGGTCTGATCAGTGTTTCGGGCGGTGTGTAGGTGTTTCCGTAGGGGCAACGACGGTGGAAAGCCCGAACCAAGTTCCCACCATGCACATTCCACCTGAGTATGCCGATTTGGCACTCGCCTTCTGTAAAAAGAAGGCGACTCAATTACCACCTCATCGACAGGGGGATTGTGCGATAGACCTCCAAGTAGGCGCTGCGCTTCCTCGTAGTCATGTGTATCCTCTGTCTCAGGAGGAGATGGCGGCTATGGAGATATATGTCACAGAATCTCTGAGACAGGGATACATACGGCCGTCCAATTCCCCTGCGTCATCAAGTTTATTTTTTGTGAAGAAGAAGAATCGTGTATCGATTACCGTGGTCTCAATCAGATCACAATCAAATACAGCTATCCCCTCCCTCTGATTGCTAGTATGACGGAGTCATTACACGGGGCGCGATTCTTCACAAAATTGGATCTCAGGAGCGCGTACAACCTGGTGCGCATTAGGGAGGGAGATGTGGTCCTCTGTAGCTCAGCTGGTAGAGCACGGAGCTTGTAACGCCAAGGTAGTGGGTTCGATCCCCGGGACCACCCATACACAAAAATGTATGCACGCATGACTGTAAGTCGCTTTGGATAAAAGCGTCTGCTAAATGGCATACTATTTATTATTATGAGTAGAAGACAGCATTCAGTACCACCTCGGGTCACTATGAGTACCTCGTCATGCCATACGGTTTAATGAATGTTCCTTCAGTCTTCCAATAGTTTGTGGACAAGATTTTCCGGGACTTGCATGGACAGGGTGTAGTGGTGTATATTGATAACATTCTAATATACTCCGCTACACGAGCCGAGCATGTGTCCCTGGTGCGTCGGGTGCTTGGTAGACTGTTGGAGCATGACCTGTATGCGAAGGCGGAGAAATGTCTGTTCTTCCAGGAGTCCATCTCCTTCCTGGGACATCGGTTGTCCACGTCAGGGGTGGAGATGGAGATTGACCGCGTTTCGGCCGTGCGTAATTGGCAGACTCCCACCACGGTGAAGGAGGTGCAGCGGTTCTTGGGTTTTGCCAATTACTACCGGAGGTTTATCTGGGGCTTTGGACAGGTAGCAGCTCCCATTACCTCCCTGCTAAAGGGGGGTCCGGTGCGTCTGCAGTGGTCGGCTGAGGCGGACAGGGCTTTTAGACATCTGAAGGACCTGTTTACCTCGGCTCCGGTGCTGGCACATCCGGATCCCTCTTTGGCGTTCCAAGTTGAAGTGGATGCGTCCGAGGCTGGGATCGGTGCTGTACTGTCTCAGCGCGCGGGTACGCCACCAAAACTCCGCCCCTGTGCTTTCTATTCTAAGAAGCTCAGTCCGGCGGAGCGCAATTATGACGTGGGGGACAGGGAGCTGTTAGCTGTGGTTCAAGCCCTGAAGGTGTGGAGGCATTGGCTTGAGGGGGCTAAACACCCTTTTCTCATTCTGACTGACCATCGTAACCTGGAGTACATCCGGGCAGCGAGGAGGCTGAACCCTGGCCAGGCAAGGTGGGCTATGTTTTTTACCCGATTTGTATTTAAACTCACCTATAGACCAGGGTCACAGAACACTAAGGCAGACGCCTTGTCCCGACTATATGACACAGAGGAGAGGTCCATTGAGCCCACTCCCATACTTCCGGAGTCTTGTCTGGTGGCACCGGTGGTGTGGGAGGTTGATGCGGACATCGAGCGGGCGTTATGTACCGATCCTACTCCCCCACAGTGTCCAGAGGGTCGGAAGTACGTGCCGCTCGAGGTTCGTGATCGATTGATATATTGGGCTCACATGTCACCCTCCTCTGGTCATCCTGGTATTGGTCGGACAGTGCACTGCCTTAGCGGGAAGTACTGGTGGCCCACTTTAGCTAAGGACGTGAGGGTTTATGTTTCCTCCTGCTCAGTGTGCGCCCAGTGTAAGGCACCTAGACACCTGCCCAGAGGGAAGTTACAACCCCTCCCCGTTCCACAACGGCCGTGGTCTCACCTATCGGTGGATTTTGTCACGGATCATCCCCACTCCCAGGGGAACACGACGATCTTGGTCGTTGTGGATCGGTTTTCGAAGGCCTGCCGTCTCATTCCTATGCCAGGTCTCACTACAACCCTACAAACTGCTGACGCCCTGTTTACACACGTCTTCCGGCACTACGGGGTACCTGAGGATATAGTCTCTGATCGGGGTCCCCAGTTCACCTCTAGAGTCTGGAGGGCGTTTATGGAACGTCTGGGGGTCTCGATTAGCCTTACCTCAGGTTTTCACCCACCCCTAGAGTAATGGGCAGGTGGAGAGAGTGAAACAGGATGTGGGTAGGTTTCTGAGGTCCTATTGCCAGGACCGGCAGGAGGAGTGGTCAGGATATATCCCCTGGGCTGAGATAGCCCAAAACTCACTCCGCCACTCCTCAACTAACCTTACGCCTTTCCAGTGTGTGCTAGTGGACGAGTGGTTTTGGCACTCGGAAGAAACCTGGAACGCTGCGCATGTCCATCTGCAGCGGGCTATCAGGCGGCAAAAGGCGAGCGCCGATCGCCACCGCAGTGAGGCTCCGGTGTATGCACCAGGAGATCGGGTCTGGCTCTCGACCCGAAACCTGCCCCTTCGCCCCACTGGACATCGAGGGGGCTCCGGCGTACTCAGTCCGTTCCATCTTGGATTCAAGGCGTTGGATGGGGGGCCTGCAGTATCTCGTGGAGTGGGAGGGGTACGGTCCAGAGGAACGGTGCTGGGTCCCTAGGAGGGACATCCTAGATCCCTCCATGTTGAGGGATTTCCACCGGAGTCATCCGACTCGCCCTGCTCCGCGTCCTCCTGGCCGTACCCGAGGCCGGGGTCGGTGCACGGCTGGAGCCGCGCGTCAAGGGGGGGGGGGGGGGGGTACTGAAACGGATTCAGCCGAGGCTGCTCCTCCTCCTTGCTTGGGCAGGCTTCGGCGTTCGTCATCTCCGGAGTACTAGCTGCTACCGATCTATGTTTCGGTGATCGTCTTGTTTGGTCTTTATTGTTTACACCTGTTTCCCATTATGTTACATTGTGTTCCCTTTATAACCCCCTGTCTCTTATTGGTTATTGTGTGTGATTGTTTTCCGTAAGGTCGGCACTGCTGTTTGTATGCGAGTATTGTTTCCTCCCTGTTAGGAGGTTTTGTTTTGTATGTTCCTTTACTGTGTAGTAAAGTACGTCTGCCAGTAGCTCGGTGTCCTGTGCTTGACTTCGCTCACCGCATACGCGTCACCTTGACACAGTCGCTGTAGTAGCTGATGTGTGTAGTGTTGAGTCATCTGCACACATAGACAAACTTGCTTTACTCAAAGCTAATGTCATGTCGTTAGTAAAGGCTGAAAAGAGTAAGGGGCCTAGACATGCTGCCCTGGGGAATTCCTGATTCTACCTGGATTATGTTGTATAGGCTTCCACTAAAGAACACCCTCTGTGTTCTGTTAGACAGGTAACTCTTTATCCACAACATAGCAGGGGGTGTAAAGCCATAACACATACAGTACCAGTCAAAAGTTTGGGCACCTACTCATTCCAGGGTTTTTCTTTATTTTTACTATTTTCTACATTGTAGAATAATAGTGAAGACATCAAAACTATGAAATAGCACTTATGGAATCATGTATTAACCAAAACAGTGTTAAACAAATCAAAATATATTTTAGATTTGAGATTCTTCAAAGTAGCAACCCTTTGCCTTGATGACAGCTTTGCACACTCTTGGCATTCTCTCAACCAGCTTCACCTGGAATGCTTTTCCAACATTCCCACAGAATTTGTATAACACCCTTTAGGTTACTACATGATTCCATACGTGCTATTTCATAGTTTTGATGTCTTCACTATTATTCTACAATGTAAAAAATAGTCAAAATAAAGAAAAACACTTGAATGAGTAGGTGTGTCCAAACTTTTGACTGGTAGTGTACATTATCAAGCATTTCACTCGTTATCCAGATACTGACTGTTAGCACTTGGTGGTCTATAGCAGGTTCCCACCAGAATGGGCTTTGGGTGAGGCAGATGAACCATATTACTTCAACAGTATTTAACATGAGATCCTCTCTAAGCTTTACAGGAATGTGGTTCTGAATATAAACGGCCACACCTCCAACTTTGGCATTTCTGTATTTTCTGTAGATCTTATAACCATGTATTGCTACCACTGTATCATAAAAGGTATTATCTAAGTGAGTTTCAGAGATTGTCAGAATATGAATGTCATCTGTTACTAGCAAATGATTGATTTCATGAACCTTGTTTCTTAAGCTACATATGTTAACGTGGGCTATTTTTAGCACTTTTCTGGGATGCTTGATTGTTTTTATTGCTTTACTGAGAAGCTTAGCAGAGGTAGACATGCTTAGGTTATTTATGTTAGTGCAGGGCGAGCTGCACACAGTGGACTTCCTGCTAGGGCACACCACCTCAGTGCTAACAGTATAACTCTGGTTCATAGGCACATGATTACTGCATACAATAGCTGTAGGATCAGCAGAGACATTCAGGGCAGTAAGAGGGAAATACATTAGGTTACTTACATTGTGTCTTCCAGCGCCTCTGGGATAATGTACATTTGCTGAAGCATTGTGACAACTCAGTGACACAATGGTAGGGATTAAATGAGCTTTGCTTGGGTCATTGATAAGTCATTGTCTCAACGCAGCCTTATAATGCTGTGAAAGGATCCAGGAACCCAAATGATTTGGGTCGATCCCATCCTCCTTATAATTCGAGTTTTGTTTCCAAAAGGTATCAAAATTGTCAATAAATGTTACACCCACAGAGTTGCAATAGTCTCGTAGCCAGTTATGGAGGGCTAAAAGTCTGCTGAACCGTTCAATGCCACGGTTTCGGGAGGGCGGAGGGCCAGATATTATGGGGCGTTTGTTGGTGTCAAGTAGTGACACAATCAGTTCTTTACCATGGAGACGGCCTGATTCACTGATTAAATGTCTCCTCAAAGAGATCACTTTCATTTTGTGAAATAGCAAAATAGATCTCCTACAATCAAGACAGGATAACCAAATTGCTTCAGAAGATAATAAACCATGTTTCTTGTAGTTACTTTTTTCTCAGCTTGTTTATATTACTTTCTAATATGTCAAGCTAGCTTACAGAGTAGCTAGCTAACTAGCCAGCTAGCTTTGTAGCCATGGATTGTACACATTCCATTGTTTATATACACTACCGTTCAAAAAGTTTGGGGTCACTTAGAAATGTCCTTGTTTTCCATGAAAACATACATGAAATGAGTTTGAATAGGAAATATAGCAAAATGCATAGGAAATGTAGTCATTGACAAGGTTAGAAATAAGGATTTTTAATTGAAATAATAATTGTGTCCTTTGAACTTTGCTTTCGTCAAATAATCCTCCATTTGCAGCAATTATAGCCTTGCAGACCTTTGGCATTCTAGTTGTCCATTTTTTGAGGTAATCAGAAGAGATTTCACCCCATGCTTCCTGACGCACCTCCCACAATTTGGATTGGCTTGATGGGCACTTCTTACGTACCATACGGTCAATCTGCTCCCACAAGAGTGCAATAGGGTTGAGATCCGGTGACTGTGCTGGCCACTCCATTATAGACAGAATACCAGCTGACTGCTTCTTCCCTAAATAGTTATTGCATAGTTTGGAGCTGTGCTTTGGATCATTGTCCTGTTGTAGGAGGAAATTGGCTCCAATCAAGCTCCGTCCACAGGGTATGGCATGGCGTTGCAAAATGGAGTGATAGCCTTTCTTCTGCAAGATCCCTTTCACCCTGTACAAATCTCCCACTTTACCACCACCAAAGCACCCCCAGACCATCACATTGCCTCCACCATGCTTGACAGATGTCATCAAGCACTCCTCCAGCATCTTTTCATTTGGTCTGCGTCTCACAAATGTTCTTCTTTGTGATCCGAACACCTCAAACTTCGATTCGTCTGTCCATAAAACTTTTTCCCAATCTTCCTCTGTCCAGTGTCTGTGTTATTTTGCCCATCTTAATCTTTTATTTTTATTGGCCAGTCTGAGATATGGCTTTTTCTTTGCAACTCTGCCTAGAAGGTCAGTATCCCGGAGTCGCCTCTTCACTGTTGACGTTGAGACTGGTGTTTTACAGGTACTATTTAATGAAGCTGCCAGTTGAGGACCTGTGAGGTGCCTGTTTCTCAAACTAGACACTCTAGTTAGTATTTGTCCTCTTGCTCAGTTATGCACCGGGGCCTCCCACTCCTCTTTCTATTCTGGTTAGAGCCAGCTTGCGCTGTTCTGTGAAGGGAGTAGAACACAGCGTTGTACGAGATCTTCAGTTTCTTGGCTATTTCTCGCATGGAATAGCCTTCATTTCTCAGAACAAGAATAGACTGACGAGTTTCAGAAGAAAGTTACATGTTTCTGGCCATTTTGAGCCTGTAATCGAACCCACAATTGCTGATGCTCCAGATACTCAACTAGTCTCAAGGCCAGTTTTATTGTTTCTTTAATCAGCACAACAGTTTTCAGCTGTGCTAACATAATTGCAAAATGGTTTTCTAATGGTCAATTAGCCTTTTTAAATGATAAACTTGGATTAGCAAACACAACGTGCCATTGGAACACAGGACTGATGGTAGCTGATAATGGGCCTCTGTACGCCTTTGTAGATATTCCATTAAAAATCAGCTGTTTCCAGCTACAATAGCCATTTACCACATTAACAATGTCTACACTGTATTTCTGATCAATTTGATGTTATTTTAATGGACAAAAAAAATGCTTTTCTTTTGAAAACAAGGACATTTCTAAGTGACCCCAAACTTTTGAACGGTAGTGTAAGTAGCTACAGCTAGCTTTGTAGCCATGTGTACCTTCCATTGCTTAGCTAAGTAGCTGGTTGATGTTTTCCTTTTGTAACCAGAGCAGATGAAAGACACATTCACCTCCAAAAATGCTGTTTACATTGATATCCATACTGAATGAAGCAGTTAAGGGACCTCATGGCCACCCTTAACTTTTTTACTTAATTGAAGGGGGAAATAACCTTAAAATGTTTTGTGCAACTGACTTAAAATTAAGGAAATTTGAAGGGAAAATAGGAGGGGAAAATTAACTTAAGGTGTTTATGCAACCGGGCCCTGTGACGCAAAACTGAAACCTAGCCACTCTCTTGTATCTTAGCAGCAGTATCTAGCTGGCTAGCTACACAATTGTTTAGCTTGCTTGCTAGCTAACGTTATCAGAACAGGGCAGCACGGCTGGCCTTTGGATGTACACAGAGCTCTAACATTAATAATATGCAGCCAGTGCTGCCAACACTGGCTGCAGTAACCCATGGGGAGGAGGTCACACTCAGACAATCAGAGAGGGGGCATATTATTGTGGCACAAAATAATGCTTAGGAAAAATGGTTACAACGGGGGACCAGAGTGTTTGTGTCTCAGGGGAAGAGGGTGGATCTGATCTCCATCACCTAGGACTTGACATTGGTTAATCAAATCTCAAATCTTTGTCAAATCTTTGCTCAATCTTGCATGCTTTCTCAAACAGCTGTAACTGTATATGCATTCGTAAATCAGGTCCTTTCTTGAGTTGGGCTCTGGGATGTAACAACCGTTTAGCATCTGATCTTATGGTTGATTGTGGAGGAAAGGGATTGAGTGTGTTAGAGTATGTGTGTGTGTGTGTGTGTTTATTCCACATCTGTTGCAAGGGGGTAAGGATGTTAGGGAGAATATAGGATGAACCACAATAATTGTTTGCTCAAATAATAATTGCTTGACAAAAATGTAATGTAATACAATGGCAATCAGGGTTATAGGTAACAATCATTCGCATTAACTGTCGACATTATTACGCATATTAATTGATAGTGATGGAAATTAAGATATGCAAGATCTTTGAATAGATATATATTTTTAATAGCTATATATTGAGGTGAGAGCATTGGAAATGCTTTTGGCGGTTGACCTGCTTCTTTTTTGTGGGTGGCACTGTGTGCTGTTTTCGAAGGACGGGTCTAGGGGGGCTAGGGATCCGGGGGGGGTGGGGGTGGTATGCCGATCACTGGGATGACAACCCAACTTGGGATGGGGAGGGGCTTTAGCGGGGGGGAATAGTGGAGAACAATTGGAGGGTTACTTAGTAGCAATGCAAATACCATGGTACAGCTATATGGACACTCAATCACTATGGTATTTTTTATTGGTACATTTACAAACATATATTATGATAAATAGATTTGAAACTTGTATCTCATTATGTTAAGTGGTGAAATAAGTATAGCCAGTTATAATTGTAATGGCTTAGCAGATAATAACAAAAGAAGAACAATATTTACATGGCTCAATGAAAATGAATATAATATCTATTGTTTACAGGAAACTCATTCAACAATTCTAGAGGAAGATGTGTGGAAAAAGGACTGGAGGGGGTGAAATATACTTCTCCCATGGGCAAAGAAACTCAAAAGGGGTGATGATATTAATTAACAGTAATTTCGATCCAAATGTGCAAATTGTCCAAACAGATCCGCAAGGTAGATGGATGATTTTAAATATGTTATTGGACCATAAACAAATATGTCTCATTAACCTTTACGGACCAAATAATGATGATCCACACTTCTTTGACAATATATACAGTGCGGAAAAAAGTATTTAGTCAGCCACCAATTGTGCAAGTTCTCCCACTTAAAAAGATGAGAGAGGCCTGTAATTTTCATCATAGGTACACGTCAACTATGACAGACAAATTGAGAAAAACAAAATCCAGAAAATCACATTGTAGGATTTTTAATGAATTGATTTGCAAATTATGGTGGAAAATAAGTATTTGGTCAATAACAAAAGTTTCTCAATACTTTGTTATATACCCTTTGTTGGCAATGACACAGGTCAAACGTTTTCTGTAAGTCTTCAAAAGGTTTTCACACACTGTTGCTGGTATTTTGGCCCATTCCTCCATGCAGATATCCTACAGAGCAGTGATGTTTTGGGGCTGTCGCTGGGCAACACGGACTTTCAACTCCCTCCAAAGATTTTCTATGGGGTTGAGATCTGGAGACTGGCTAGGCCACTCCAGGATCTTGAAATGTTTCTTACGAAGCCACTCCTTTGTTGCCCGGGCGGTGTGTTTGGGATCATTGTCATGCTGAAAGACCCAGCCACGTTTCATCTTCAATGCCCTTGCTGATGGAAGGAGGTTTTCACTCAAAATCTCACGATACATGGCCCCATTCATTCTTTCCTTTACACGGATCAGTCGTCCTGGTCCCTTTGCAGAAAAACAGCCCCAAAGCATGATTTTTCCACCCCCATGCTTCACAGTAGGTATGGTGTTCTTTGGATGCAACTCAGCATTCTTTTTCCTCCAAACACGACGAGTTGAGTTTTTACCAAAAAGTTCTATTTTGCTTTCATCTGACCATATAACATTCTCCCAATCCTCTTCTGGATCATCCAAATGCACTCTAGCAAACTTCAGACGGGCCTGGACATGTACTGGCTTAAGCAGGGGGACACGTCTGGCACTGCAGTATTTGAGTCCCTGGCGGCGTAGTGTGTTACTGATGGTAGGCTTTGTTACTTTGGTCCCAGCTCTCTGCAGGTCATTCACTAGGTCCCCCCGTGTGGTTCTGGGATTTTTGCTCACCGTTCTTGTGATCGTTTTGACCCCACGGGGTGAGATCTTGCAGATCGAGGGAGATTATCAGTGGTCTTGTATGTCTTCCATTTCCTAATAATTGCTCCCACAGTTGATTTCTTCAAACCAAGCTACTTACCTATTGCAGATTCAGTCTTCCCAGCCTGGTGCAGGTCCACAATTTTGTTTCTGGTGTCCTTTGACAGCTCTTTGGTCTTGGCCATAGTGGAGTTTGGAGTGTGACTGTTTGAGGTTGTGGACAGGTGTCTTTTATACTGATAACAAGTTCAAACAGGTGCCATTAATACAGGTAACGAGTGGAGGACAGAGGAGCCTCTTAAAGAAGAAGTTACAGGTCTGTGAGAGCCAGAAATCATGCTTGTTTGTAGGTGACCAAATACTTATTTTCCACCATAATTTGCAAATAAATTCATAAAAAATCCTACAATGTGATTTTCTGGAAAGAATTTTCTCAATTTGTCTGTCATAGTTGACGTGTACCTATGATGAAAATTACAGGCCTCTCTCATCTTTTTAAGTGGGAGAACTTGCACAATTGGTGGCTGACTAAATACTTTTTTTCCCCACTGTATGTATTTATATGTATGTGTATATGTATGTGTATATATATATATATAAATATATTTGCGAGAAAATTGGAAGTGATGCAGACAATTACATCGATAGAAGTTACAATCAATCTGCAATATTAAAGCTGATCTACCCCCCAATAATAATAATAATAATAATAATAATAATAATAATAATAATAATAATAATAATAATAATAATATGCATGTCAGTCTCTCCTGGCTGAAAGTGGAGGAGAGATTGACTTTATCAATACTTGTATTTGTGAGAGGTATTGACATGTTGAATGCACCGAACTGTCTGTTTGAACTACTGGCACCCAGCTCGGACACCCACGCATACCCCACAAAACATGCCACCAGAGGTCTCTTCACAGTCCCCAAGTCCAGAACAGACTATGGAAGGCGCACAGTACTACATAAAGCCATGACTACATGGAACTCTATTCCACATCAAGTAACTCATACAAGCAGTAAAATTAGATTTAAAAAAACAGATAACAATACACCTTATGGAACAGCGGGGACTGTGAAGCAACACAAACATGGGCACAGACACATGCATAAACACACACATGGATTTTGTGTTGTAGATATGTGGTAGTAGAGTAGGGGCCTGAGGGCACACACTTAATGTGTTGTGAATGTATTGTAATGTTTTTTAAATTGTATAACTGCCTTAATTTTGCTGGACCCCAGGAATAGTAGCTGCTACCTTGGCAGCAGCTAATGGGGATCCATAATAAATACAATACAAAATACAAATATCCGGATAATATTGACGCTCAATATATTTTTGTTCTAAGCCATATTAAAAATGCAATTCAAGGCAGATAGCCTTTATTGAAATTGTATCTGTTTCATTAGTTGATGTTATAATGTTAGTTGCTAGGTAGCTAGCTAGCTAGCCAGGCACCCGGGTTCACAGCATCGCATTAGTGGAAACCAAGACTGTTCTCAGGGCCTGGTTACAGCTAGATATGTTTGAGTTGGGTCAGGGATAATTGTAGCATTTTAGCTAACCTTTTCCTAACATTAGCCTAATTCTCCTAACCTGCCACATTAATTCTCATAACCTGCTGCTTAAGTTATCCTAACCTGCTATGAAAAGTCACTTCTGTTAGTCAAAACCAGCAAACCTACCTTGAGAACAGTCTTGGTTTCCACTAATGCGATACAGACCCAGGTTCACGTCTCGTCCGAGCAGCCCAGCTAGCTAACTCGTTGTACCTTGACAACATTGACCCTTAACATACTTCAGCCATATTCACAATTCAATTTAAGGCAGATTAACTATCTAACAGGCATGAGTACAGATCGGATACAAACACAATAGCTAACTACGTTAGCTACTCAAACCAATGCAGAAATGTCATACAATAGCATAATGTAGAACGTTATAGCTATTTAAATGTTTTTTTACCTTGATTGTCAGTATTATCTACTCTTTGCCCATATCTCCAAAATTATTTTGAATCTCACCCCAAATCATTTATATGTGTCCAGGCAATGTTGTTCTGCACTAAGATGGCTGTTGACTGATGCAGCATCTTAGCCTGGTTTATCCTCACTTTCTGACAATTGTGTAATTCATAAACAACTAAGCTATTTAAACGCAAGCTGCAGGTGATGAGACCAGTTACAGAAATTATTACAATACCAAAACATAATATTTCACTCAAGTCAAACTTACCAACATGATTGTAATACATTCATCAATACTATTCATATTATCAAACTGGACCTCCTTAGCACTGTCACGTCTCCTCCCATTGCTCCCCTCCGGCGCTCTGATTCGCCGGTCTACTGAGCCACTGGTCTGAGCGCACCACCTCGGCAAAACACCGGAATGGAAACCCAACGCACCCTAATCACCTCCAGCGCACCTGCACCTCATCATCTCATCACCACCCCTATTTAGCCCTGGACTGTTCTGTATGATGTTGTGTGTGATTGTTAAGCTTCGTGTCGTTTATCCTATGTTTGTTATTTCTCTTTTGCATTGTTAAGTAAACCTTGACCTTGTTAATTCCTGCGTCTGCGTCCTGCCTCTTCGTATACTCAGTACTCGTCACAGAATCACACACTGAACAAAAATGGATGCAGCTGTAGTTTCCCAGTGCCTCGACCAGCAGCAGCTTGCCCAGTTGAACGCCACCATGCAGGAAGTGCTCCAAACTCTGCATAATCTGCCCAGCGCTCCGGTTCCACCTCAGGGAGCGGCGAGTGCCCCCAATCCACCTGTTCCCGGGCTATCACCCACTTCTGCGGGAACCCTCGCCCTACTGGAGCACTATGACGGAAAACCGGTAAATGTAGAGGCTTCCTGCTACAGGTTTCACTTTATCTGGCGCGTCAGCCTGGGGCATATCCATCTGACCAAGCCAGGATAGTGCTGGTTATTTCGCTACTTAAAGGAAAGGCGCTGGATTGGGCCACGGCAGTCTGGGAAGGAGAGGAGGCAGTGGCGCTTCCCTACCCCACCTTCCTTGCTCGGTTAAAAAAAATAAAAATAAATTGGTCATTTAGCAGACGCTCTTATCCAGAGCGACTTACAGGAGTAATTAGGGTTAAGTGCCTTGCTCAAGGGCACATCGACAGATTTTTCACCTAGTCGGCTCGGGGATTAGAACCAGCGACCTTTCGGTTACTGGCACAACGCTCTTAACCACTAAGCTACCTGCCGCCCGGTTCAGGGCGGTGTTTGATCATCCCACGGAGGAAAAGGATGGGGGTGAGCATCTCCTCCATCTACAACAGCGAGAGGGGCCCGCGTCCGAGTACGCTCTGAGCTTTCGCACGGTGGCGGCGTCTTCCGGCTGGAATGAGCGTGCTCTGCGCACTGCCTCCAGGAGAGGCTTATGGGAGGACATCAAGATGGAACTTGCATGTCGGGATGACGAGATGGACCTTGATACCCTCATCACCACGTCCATCCATCTTGACGACATGTTGAGAGAGAGACGGCGTTCCCAACACCTCCCGGAGCCTCGACGCTCACCCCATCTGAGCTATAGAAGCCGCCCTGCTTCCGAGTCCTCACCCATGGAGGTGGGCAGCACCCCCTACACCACCACGGACCACAGATCTCCTGGCCGCTCCCTATCTAGGCGGTATGACTCCCGTCGCCGCTCCGTGAGTGTTACGTCAGCTCCTATCACAAAACCATTGTTTTTAGTTCCCATAACGGTGACTGGTTATTCCTTCTCTTCCACTTCTACTGCTATGATAGATTCCGGATCAGCGGGGAACATTATAGATAGGGAGCTGGTCTCTGAATGGGGGTTGCCACCCGGGCCACTGCCATCTCCGCTACATGTCACCTCACTGGACAATAAACCCCTTTGATCAGGCACCATTACTCATGTCACTCTTCCCATCACCATCTCCATTCCCACACTACCGGAGCACCAGCGGATCAGCAGGGAACCTTATAGATAGGGAGCTGGTCTCTGAATGGGGGTTGCCCACCGGGCCACTGCCATCTCTGCTACACGTCACCTCACTGGACAATAAACCCCTTTGATCAGGCACCATTACGCATGTCACTCTTCCCATCACTATCACCATTCCCACACTACCGGAGCACCACCAGATCGGCGGGGAACCTTATAGATAGGGAGCTGGTCTCTGAATGGGGGTTGCCCACCGGGCCACTGCCATCTCCGCTACAAGTCACCTCACTGGACAATAAACCCCTTTGATCAGGCACCATTACACATGTCACTCTTCCCATCACCATCACCATTCCCACACTACCGGAGGTGTTGGGAACGCCGAGGCTTCGGGAGGTGTTGGGAACGCCGTCTCTCTCTCAACATGTCGTCAAGATGGATGGATATGGTGATGAGGGTATCAAGGTTCATCTCGTCGTCCCGACATGCAAGTTCCGTCTTGATGTCCTCCCATAAGCCTCTCCTGAAGGCAATGCGCAGAGCACGCTCATTCCAGCCGGAAGACGCCCCCACCGTGCGAAAGCTCAGAGCGTACTCGGACGCGGGCCCCTCTCGCTGTTGTAGATGGAGGAGACGCTCACCCCCATCCTTTCACTCCGTGGGATGATCAAACACCGCCCTGAACCATCACGTCACCCCTTCACCGGATCGTCTTGGGATTGCCCTGGCTCAGACTACACAACCCCACCATCAATTGGAGCACCAAGAGGATCACAGCCTGGTCCACCTCATGCCGGAAGACCTGCCTGCCGGTGGCTTGTTGTTCCACGTCAGTGGAGAGTCCGGAGTCCGCCCTCCAGCCCAACATTCCACGTGAGTACGCAGATCTCTCCGATGTCTTCTCTTCATTAAAGGCTACGTGTCTCCCTCCTCACAGGCCCTGGGACTGCGCCATTGACCTGCTGGAGGGACAACACCCCCCGAAAAGTCGCATTTACTCCCTTTCCATGGCGGGGACTGAGGCCATGGAGAAGTATAATAATATAATATGCCATTTAGCAGACGCTTTTATCCAAAGCGACTTACAGTCATGTGTGCATACATTTTTACATATGGGTGGTCCTGGGGATCGAATTGCGCTACAGTATGTGGCGGAGACCCTGAAACAGGGGTTCATCAGACGCTCTACCTTTCCTGCCTCCGCCAGCGTCTTCTTCGTGGCCAAAAAAGACGGAGGACTGAGACCATGTGTTGACTACTGCCCCAAGTACCGGTACCCCCTCCCTCTGGTTCCGTCGACCATCGAGCAGCTACGAGAGGCCCGGTAATTTACCAAGTTGGACCTGAGGAGTGCCTACAACCTGATCCGAATCCGGGAAGGAGACGAGTGGAAGACGGCATTCAGCACTACCTCAGGCCACTATGAATACTGCGTCATGCCCTACGGCCTCGCCAACGCACCTTCTGTGTTCCAGTCCTTCGTCAATGACGTGTTCCGGACATGCTGAGTAGACAGGTGGTGGTGTACATCGACGATATCCTGATCTACTCGGCTACGTTCGAGGAGCGCGTCAGGGACGTCCGAGCTGTCCTACTCCGCCTCCGGGAACACAGCCTGTTGGTGAAGGGGGAGAAATGCGAATTCCACCAACAGGCCATCTCCTACCTCGGATACCGGATCAGTCCTCAGGGGGTGTTCATGGAAGGAGTGAAGACGGACGCCGTCAGGTCATAGCCAGTTCCCACCACCATCAAGGGCCTACAGAGCTTCCTGGGCTTCACTAATTTCTACCGGCGTTTCATCAGGTCCTTCAGCTCCATAGCCGCCCCGCTCACCTCTCTTCTTAAGGGTGGACCTCAGAAGCTGGCCTGGAACCCTGAGGCTGACGCTGCCTTCAAGAGGCTGAAGGAGAGGTTCACCCCAGTGCCCATCCTAAAACACCCAGATCCATCTCGTCCTTTCATCCTGGAGGTGGACGCATCGGAGGAGGGCGTGGGTGTGGTCCTCTCCCAGCGGCACGGTAAGCCAGAAAAAATGTATCCCTGTGCCTTTTTCTCTAAAAAGCTTATCCCCGCAGAGAGGAACTATGGAGTTGGAGACAGGGAGCTGTTGGTGGTGCTCCTTGCTCTGGAGGAATGGAGACACTGGCTGGAGGGTGCAGTCCATCCATTCCGGATTATTACTGACCACCGGAATTTGGAGCACATACGGTCAGCGAAATGAATTAACTCTCGTCAAGCCAGGTGGGCCCAATTTCTCACTCGCTTCCAATTCATTCTGTCTTACTGCCCAGGATCCCAGAATGTGAAGGCCGACGCACTCTCCAGGATGCACCATACCGGAGAAAGGAGGGATCTGGGGGATCCTATCCTGCCCTCGTCTCTCATCGTTGCACCTGTCGTTTGGGATGTGGACGAAGACATCTGCCTGGCGGCTCAGGAGGACCCAGCGCCTACCAACGCCCCTTCGGGGCGCGTGTATACACCCACCAGTGTTCATGACCGCCTGCTGATCTGGGCGCAGACTAATTGCATTCCAAGGACTGGAGTTGCCCATCTCTATGATAGAACGTAACCATGATCACCTGAAAAACATAAATAGTGTCACAATTACTTTGTTTGCAAACTGTAGCAACACTGAAACTTTTTTAAAACCAAGCAATGCTCTCATATCTAACCTACACGCTTGTGGTCGGCAAAGAAAGCAAACAGGTACACCTAAGAAACATTCATTGAAATATAGTCAATGTGTTCACAAGTTGGTTAATGTCTACATATGGTAGACCGGGAGAGGTGAGGTGGAGAATGTGATTAGTCTAGATAGAACAGCATTTCTTAATCCTGGTCCTGGGGACCCAAAGGGGTGCACATTTTAGTTTTTGCCCTAGCACTACACAGCTGATTCAAATGAACAACTTATCAAGTGTTGATGATTTGAATCAGGTGTGTAGTGCTAATGCAAAAACAGCATATCCTCCTCCACCGTCCCGGTCCCACACTGGGCTCAAACCAGTGATCCTCTGCTTGCAAACACACGTGACCGTCCTCCTTGACAACATACTAACGGTTTGAGCCAACCAAAAGGTATCAATTGGATGTCTCCGTCCGCAACATTTCAAGGTAGCTATGGAGTGAGCTTACGGCACGTTCTTAACTCTGTCACACGTTCGTATGTGATCATGTATTCGTGTATGTCTGTGCTTCCTCTCGTGACCCCCCTGCCCTCAGCACTACTCATTAATGTCGCCCCTCTCTCTTAGACCATGGTACTGGACTTGTACTCCTCAGTCTTGCCTTCATCGTTCTTCAGTGAGATGAGGTGGTGGTATTGGGGGGTTACCCTCTGTCTCATTCATCCGAGGCAGGCCTCTCCAGAGGAACACTGAGGAGGAGAGAGGGATAGATGGGATGGAGAGAAAATTATCAGTAAGGTATACCAGTAGAAATACAGGTATTCTGTTTTGAAATGGGGTGCTTGTCGAGGCAAAAAATGCATTACTAAACCATTGAGACATTGAGGATCTGAGGGGAGGATAATCACGTGTACATGGAGAGGAAGCCATAGGTGGAGTTGACTCCGTACGTCTCCTATTTGAACATCTCACTGGCATCCCAGCCATTAGATTAACAGAGAGAGATACAAGGGAATGGTGATTAGTGTGTGTGTCACAGTGTGTGTCTCACTGTGTCTGTTACCAGAGTGGTTACAAAGCAAGCTATATCTACTCAGGCTTTTATAAAGCTAGTCAGCTTCAGTTAGCTTCACATTCCAGGTCAGGCTTCATCTGTACTATGACAGTGGATATTGCTCGCCGGCCCGCTTGCCACTAACTCTAGCTGGCTTGTAACTGCGCGTGCCTGTCGCACATGGCTAGTCAAACACCAAACTCTTCATTGAGGCAATGCTGAAACAGCAATCCATGGGTGAGTCAGTGCCACATTTTAATTTGTGCCGAAATTAAAATGAAAGAAAAGTTATCTTGTTAATTCAGCAGGCTATGGTGTGAAATAGACTTTTAGAAACGCTGTTCTGGTGTGCTTATCAATGCACCTTTTCCCAACTCCTGTCGCTCCTTGTGGAACAGCGTATTGCTTGTGGCCATAGACATAGGTTTTGGAACTTCTAACCCTGGCAATTTGACTATTAAACTCATGGGTACACTAGCAGTGGCTGCCAGTCTTGACTTGAATGGTAACTGCCATCTATGGATAATATGTCTATGGTTGGTTGCTGTTTTCATTTTGCCTTTCGCAAATTTCCAAATACAATCGTGTGAAAAACGTACAGTTTGGAAAGCAAATGCTGTCCTTACTAAATGTGTTATGTGATAGGTATTTTAACGTGACCATTATTTTACACAAAAAAACATTTGATTAATAAAATATTTGATCAGTCGTCTTCCTCAATTGAAGGGGATGATGACACAATCTTTGCGAGAGGGAGGGTATTTGATTTCATTACTTCTCAACTCGGGGTTCAGACATTTCATTCAGGAAAAATGAAGTTAGATCTGAGTAAGCCTGTCCCGGAGCAGGTTAGTTCTAAAGGATTCGTTGCCATAGAAACCTCGCTAAAAGATTAGCCATTTTCATGGTACCGGTTATCCCGAGTTTCATGGTACCGGTTATCCCAAAGTTACCTCTCTAACTCCTCAAATCTGATTCGTAGTATAGGGCTCAGGACGAAGCCCTCTCAATTGCTGTCTCCTCTGTCCCACCGCTACAGCACTGTGCTCCCTGTTCAGCCCAACAAGCTGATCGCTGTGTCTGTGAATGCATCCATCCACACACACAGAGACAGAGGAGACATAACACTAGCACTATCTACAAAATGAATAAAGCAATCAGTAATTAGGAATTGTTTTCCTTTACTGTGTTGTGTGGCTGGTGTTACGAGACTATATCTTTTAAATATTCAAATAATAAAGCATTTGAAAACTATTTCTAAGATGCATAACCTTACTTTCAGTTTTTCCGAACTAATTTCACTCGCACATAAGCATTACGGCCGGGACGATACCAATATCGCGATACTCGCTAGTGTCTTGACAAAGAAACAAAACACGGAGCGCATTTAACTTCTTTAAGAAAACAGCCTTAATGTTGGAAGCAAACATCATGTCATCCAGAGTCACATGTATTTATTTACCAAGCTAAAATATTGCGATACTGGTATCGTCCCGGCCCTAATAAGCATAGAGAGAGGCTTGCGCTGCTTGTGCTGGCACAAGATCAGATCAAATAAACCGCTGCAGTTGTTGCCCACTCCTAAAAGAGAGGTTTCATTAGACTCTATTGAACAACAAAGCAAACTAGTCCAGTATATTACCCTCTAGCAGTCTCTAATAATGGTCACATTGTTGGACCATACACTACTGTTATACAGTCTGCTACATTAGCTTGTAACACTGTTCAAATTAAACACACTGACAATAACAAAGAGGCTGAAGTCTACATCATCCCATACACTCCATTAGGCCCCATTAACTTCCATTAGCCTGCTTCTGTGTGTCAGGGCGACGTGTATGCGGTGAGCGAAGTCAAGCGCAGGACACCGAGCTACTGGCAGACAAACTTTACTAGCACAGTAATCAAAATACAAACAAAACCTCCAAACAGGGAGGAAACAAAATACGCATACACCCAAACACTGCCGACCTCACGGAAAACAATCACACACAATAACCAATGAGAGACAGGGGGTTATAAAGGGAATACAATATAACATAATGGGAAACAGGTGAAAACAATCAGGACAAACTAGACAAACACCGAACCAGAGATCGGTGGCAGCTAGTACTCCGGGGACGACGAACGCCGAAGCCTTCCCGAGCAAGGAGGAGGGGCAGCCTCGGCTGATTCCGTGACACTGTGTGTATTTGTGTGTGTGTGTGTGTGTGTGTTGCACCTGGAACTGAGGCCAGTCAGTGGGCATGCCTGGTCTGTGGATATTCTTCCACATTTTGTCCTGCTCAGTAACTACATTTCCATCCACAGTTTTTATGCGGGTAAAGTATTTGTATTTATTAGGGATCCCCATTAGCTGCTTCCTGGGGTACAAACACATTAAGGCACTTACATTACACATAAAACAAAATATAAAACAGTACATCATATATCATTACTACACCACTACATATCTACAATACAAAATGTATAATACCAACACACAACAATATTACAATGTACGCGTGTGTAAAGTGGATGTGCTAGCTTTTGTGTGTGTCTCTTCACAGTCCATAAGGTGTGTTTTTATCAGTTTTAAATCTGATTATACTGCTTGCATCAGTTACCTGATGTAGAATACAGTTCCATGTAGTCATGGCTCTATGTAGTACTGTGCGCCTCCCATAGTCTGTTCTGACTTGGGGATTGTGAAGAGACCTCTGGCACCATGTCTTGTGGGGTATGCATGGGTGTCCGAGCTGTGTGCTAGTAGTTTAAACAGACAGCTCGGTGCATTCAGCTTGTCAACACTTCTTACAAAAACAAGTATTGATGAAGTCAATCTCTCCACTTTGAGCCAGGAGAGATTGACATGCATATCATTCATGTTAGCTCTCTGTGTAACCTCCCGAGTGTAACCTCCCGAGTGGCGCAGTGGTCTAAGGCACTGCATCGCAGTGCTAGCTGTGCCACTAGAGATCCTGGTTCGTATCCAGGCTCTGTCGTAGCCGGCCGCGACCGGGAGACCCATGGGGCGGCGCACAATTGGCCCAGCGTCGTCCAGGGTAGGGGAGGGAATGGCTGGCAGGGATGTAGCTCAGTTGGTAGAGCATGGCGTTTGCAACGCCAGGGTTGTGGGTTCGATTCCCACGGGGGGCCAGTATGAAAAATAATAATAATAATGTATGCACTAACTGTAAGTCGCTCTGGATAAGAGCGTCTGCTAAATGACTAAAATGTAAATGTAAAAATGTGTACATTTAAGGGCCAGGCGTGCTTCCCTGTTCTGAGCCAATTGTAACTTTCCTAAGTCCCTCTTTGTGGCACCTGAACAAACGACGGAACAGTTGTCCAGGTGCGACAAAAGGGCCTGTAGAACCTGCCTTTTTTTATCGTTTTGTTAAAAAGGCAGAGCAACGCTTTATTATGGACAGACTTCTCCCCATCTTAGCTACAGTTGTATCAACATGTTTTGACCATGACAGTTTACAATACAGGGTTACTCCAAGCAATTTAGTCACATCAACTTGCTCAATTTCCACATTATATATTTCAATATTTAGTTGAGATTTAGGGTTTAGTGCATGATTTGTCCCAAATACAATGCTTTTAGTTTTTGAAATATTTAGGACTAACTTATTCCTTGCCACCCATTCTGAAACTAACTGCAGCTCTTTGTTAAGTGTTGCAGTCATTTCAGTCGTTGTAGTAGCTGACGTGTATAGTGTTGAGTCATCTGCATACATAGACACACTGGCTTTACTTTAAGCCAGAGGCATGTCGTTAGTAAAGATTGAAACAGCTGCCCTGGGGAATTCCTTATGTTGGAGAGGCTTCCATTAAAGAACTCCCTCTGTGTTCTGTTAGACAGGTAACTCGTTCTCCACAATAAAGCCATAACACATGCGTTTTTCCAGCAGCAGACTATGATCAATAATGTCAAAAGCCGCACTGAAGTCTAACAAAACAGCCCCCGCAATATTTTTATCATCAATTTTTCTCAGCCAATCATCAGTCATTTGTGTAAGTGCTGTGCTTGTTGAATGTCCTTCCCTATAAGCATGCTGAAAGTCTGTTGTCAATTTCTTTACTGTAAAATAGCATTGTATCTGGTCAAACACCCTTTTTTCCAAACGTTTACTAACGATTGATAACAGGCTGATTGGTTGGCTATTTGAGCCAGTAAAGGGGGCTTTATTATTCTTAGGTAGCGGAATGAGTTTTGCTTCCCTCCAGGCCTGGGGGCACACACTTTCTAGTAGGCTTAAATTTAAGATATGGCAAATAGGAGTGGCAATATCGTCTGCTATTTTCCATCCAAGTTGTCAGACCCTGGTGGCTTGTCATTGTTGAAAGACAACAATAATTTTTTCACCTCTTCCACACTCACTTTGCGGAAATCAAAATTACAATGCTTGTCTTTCATAATTTGGTCAGTCATACTTGGATGTGTAGTGTCAGCGTTTGTTGCTGGCATGTCATGCCTAAGTTTGCTAATATATCAATGGATTTTGTGATGAATGAGCATTCTAATTCAATTAATGATGGAGCTGAGTTTGCCTTTTTGCCCAAAATGTCATTTAAGGTGCTCCAAAGCTTTTTACTGTCATTCTATATATCATTTATCTTTGTTTCATAGTATAATTTATTCTTCTTTTTATTCAGTTTAGTCACATGATTTCTCAATTTGCAGCACATTTGCCAGTTGGTTGTGCAGCCAGACTTATTTGCCATTCCTTTTGCCTCATCCCTCTCAACCATACAACTAGTCAATTCCTCATTAATCCAAGGGGATTTAAATGTTTTTACAGCCATTTTCTTAATGGGTGCATGCTTATTAGTAACTGGAATAACAATTTCATCTTCAACATAAGAATCACTACGAAACGTATTGTATGACCTCTTATACCATATATTATGCCCAGCCTTTGGAACTTTGGTTTTCCTAGATATGGCTACTATATTGTGATCACTACATCCGATGGATTTGGATACTGCTTTAAAGCAAATTTCTGCAGCATTAGTAAAGATGTGATCAATACATGTTGATGATTGCATTCATGTGCTGTTTGTAGCTACCCTGGTAGGTTGACTGATAACCTGAACCAGGTTGCAGGCACTGGTCATAACGTATAAAAATAAATCACGACAGCTGTGATGGAAACAGGAAGTTTCAGTACAATTGTATAAATGCTGACAGATAATTTGTTAGTTCGACTGTAAGGGTTGGTGTGAGGTGTGACCCAGGTGCGGTGCATGATAGGCAGTAGGCAGAGATGGTGAAACAAGGATCTTTACTGGTGGTCCCAAAACCAGGATACAAAATAACGGACTTGGTTAAATTGGTCTCCAAAAACAGGCTGACAGCAAACATACGAAATACTAACTACGACTGAAAACAACAATGAAACAGGGAGAACACTTCTCAAGTACCTGTACATAAGTCTCGCGATCAGACACTGAGTAGTACCTTTTGGCATCAAGAAACTAGCAGAGAAAACAGAGCAAGGGAACACAGGGAAGTGAGGGCATAAATACACAGGTGAACAGGTAGACACAGGTGACACCAATAGGATAATGATTAGTCCAGACTGTGAGTAAGGAGGTGGTTGGAGGATGACACCTAGCGGGTCGCCCCGGAACTGCGACCCCCTCCTGTAACATTCGACATAGTGGGATCTTTTTGTGTCAGTAAAATTAACTATGCGAGAAATGGCGGTGGAAACGCCTTTATGCACAAATATTTATATAATAACCATCATATCGAAGTAAACTTGGAGTCACGCGATGATATGGGAAACCATGCAGTTTATTAGGCTACAGATGAAATAACATGATGAACTTCACAGGGTGATGAAAATGTACTGTGATCTTGATGCTCATTTCCAATAAATATTGAGGGTTTGATTCTGGTGACATAATGATCAATGTTTGAATGCCATTTCACAAATAAAAATATCCATAATAATCTCATAATCTAGACTAGCCTATCCGCACTGTATCTGCGAGCTGTTGGCTAGAGCGCACGTGCCAAGACCTGAGTAGGCACATTTGCTATTTTTGTGACAAAACTATTGGTAGATTAAATGACTAAAATGTAAAATGTAAATGTAGAGTTCAAAATGCGATAGAAACACATTGAACTTTAGATTTTTATTCAGTACATGAAAACTTAAGCAAAAAAGTACATTTTTTGTGCACTATGCCATCACGCACTGATTTTTATCTGCAACAAGTCCATTTGGTGGAAGCACACCACTGGTGGGAAAATTAGCATATTTTCTTTATGCAGATATGTGAATATTTGAGTGAAAATCTGTCGCCAATTGGATGGAAACCTGGCTATTGATGGCTATGATAGTGTTGTAGAGCTCATTATACAGAGCCTTCACACTTTTAGAGAGAAAGAAAGATGGAAAATATGGGGAGAGAGAACGATAGAAAGGGGAGAGAGAGGGGAAATGAGAGATCAAGGTATGACAGAAATGATCAGTGAGAGTTGAGATAAAGAAAGACCACCCACATCCACACACACCCTCCTAGTAACAGTCTGACTTCAGGTGTAGCCTACCTCTCCCCTGGACTTCCTGGCGGGTCGCCCCCAGGTGGTGAGGGTAGGCAAAAACACATCCACCAGGGGTGCGTGCTTAGTCCCCTCCTGTATTTGTATTCATTATGAATCTGCATTAGCTGCTGCCAAGGTAGCAACTACTCTTCCTGGGGCCAGCAAAATTAAGCCAGTTATATACAATTTTAAAAGCATGACAATACATTTCACTACATATTTCACAGCACATTAAGTGTGTGCCCTCAGGCCACTACTCTACTACAACATATCTACAACACAAAATCCATGTGTACGTGTGTATAGTGCGTATGTTATCATGTGTGTGAGAATGCGTGTGTCTGTGTCAGTGTGTGTGTCTCTTCACAGTCCCCACTCTTCCATAAGGTGTAATTATTGATCCACAATATAGCAGGGGATGTGAAGCCATAACACAGATTTTTCCAGCAGCAGATTATGATCGATAATGTCAAAAGCTGCACTGAAGTCTAACAAAACAGCTCCCACAATATTTTTATCAATTTCTCTCAGCCGATCATCAGTCATTTGTGTAAGTACATAGCCATTTGTGTAAGCACATAGATAAAGACAGGTTTCCAGTAGAACATCATGTTATTACAATAATGAGAAAAGGGTAAATGTACAACAACAAAATATTCTGTACTTACTTTGATTGGGGTTGTACTGTGTTGGCGGATTTCAAGTGGATATCCTTGATCTATATATATATATATATTTTTAACGTAATATCAGGTATGGTATGACTGCCAGAAACAATTAACGCTTTGTAAATGATAGATGTTTAATCATAGGACTCAGATGGTTTCAAATACTAACGTTAATTAGCTAGCTAGCTAGTTATTCTACTCATTAAAGCCTATTGAAATAGTAAGTCAACTCGGCTGTTTACAGCTAGCGTTAGACAACTAGCTAGGAATCGTAGCTAGGTAAGACCTGAATGTCTCTCTAATTGATAACGTTAACTAGCTAGCTAAGTTAAAGCAATGCATAGCAAGATTTAGTATTTCTGGCATAGGCATAAATAACTAGCTAAATAACTAGCTAGGACCTAAACATGTTCGCTGACAGGATAAACTATTAACGTTATTAGATCAACTATTAACGTTATCTAACAGGATAGCTTCTTCGCTCCAGGAGCTAGCTAACTATCAATGTTCAAACATTACTTAACCTAGCTAGCTTTCGAGCTAATTTAGCTAGCTTTCGTTAGCTAGCTAGGTGGCTAGCTAGTACCTATGTTCAACGTCTAATGTTGTCAGACACAAACAGAACGATGCATAGAATGATCTGCAGAAAAAGGCACACAAGGAAACTTTTAACCAAGGTCAAGTTAGCTAGCTAACGTTAACAAAGTCATTGCCCAGCGACAGTGTCATGGTCAAAACATGTTGATACAACTGTAGCTAAGATGGGGAGAAGTCTGTCCATAATAAAGTGTTGCTCTGCCTTTTTAACAAACTTTTACCTCAACTAATTCTTGCCTTAGCATAATAGCTAGTTAGCTATTTCTGTATTGACATTCAACATTGGTACAATAATCTTATCTCTTATGACAATGTCTTTATGCAAAAGTTATCCTTTTCATCTTCTTCTATGGTATTATGGCGGTCCGCAATTAAACGTTAGAGGTGCATGCTAGCAGTGCGCCTTCATAAGAATATCATCATTTTTATGTTCATGTTGCTGTCCAAATCATCTCTTGTATTTTAACAACAAGCACATTATTTCCCCTTGCTTCCAGCCTAGCAATTTGGTTTGATACAGTGGGGGTTGTACAGTGGGGTTAATATACGCCTAGCTGTCTGAATGTCCGACCTCAGAAACAATGTTTGACTTTTGAATTTTGAACGGTGCTCAGACGAAAAGAGGCAACTTTTTCTGAGCCAGGGAAATCACGCATTGACGTCATTATCATTCGGAAAGTATTCAGACCCCTTGACTTTTTCCACATTTTGTTACGTTACAGCCTTATTCTAAAATAGATTAAATAAATAAAAATCCTCATCAATCTACACACCAAACCCCATAATGACAAAGCAAAAACAGGTTTTTCAATATTTTTGAACATTTAGTATAAAAAAAACAGAAATGCCTTATTTACAGTGCCTTGCAAAAGTATTCATCCCCCTTGGCGTTTTTCCTATTTTGTTGCATTTCAACCTGTAATTTAAATTGATTTTTATTTGGATTTCATGTAATGGACATACACAAAATAGTCCAAATTGGTGAAGTGAAATGAAAAAAAATACCTTGTCTCAAAAATTCAAAAAAATAAATAACGGAAAAGTGGTGCGTGCATATGTATTCACCCCCATTATTATGAAGCCCCTAACTAAGATCTTGTGCAACCAATTACCTTTAGAAGTCACATAATTAGTTAAATAAAGTCCACCTGTGTGCAATCTAAGTGTCACATGATCTGTCACATGATCTCAGTATATATACACCTGTTCTGAAAGGCCCCAGAGTCTGCAGTACCACTAAGCAAGGGGCACCACCAAGCAAGCGGCACCATGAAGACCAAGGAGCTCTCCAAATAGGTCAGGGACAAAGTTGTGGAGAAGTACAGATCAGGTTTGGGTTATAAAAAATATATGAAACTTTGAACATCCCACAGAGCACCATTAAATCCATTACTAAACAATTGAAAGAATATGGCACTACATCAAACCTGCCAAGAGAGGGCCGCCAACCAAAACTCACGGACCGGGAAAGGAGGACATTAATCAGAGAGGCAACAAAGAGACCAAAGATAACCCTGAAGGAGCTTTACGGAAGAGTGGCCATTGCTTAAATAAAAAAGTAAGCAAACACGTTTGGTGTTCGCCAAAAGGCATGTGGGAGACTCCCCAAACATATGGAAGAAGGTACTCTGGTCAGATGAGACTCAAATTGAGCTTTTTGGCCATCAAGGAAAATGCTATATCTGGTGCAAACCCAACACCTCTCATCACCCCGAGAACACCATCATGCTGCGGGGATGTTTTTCATTGGCAGGGACTGGGAAACTGGTCAGAATTGAAGGAATGATGGATGGTGCTAAATACAGGGAAATTCTTGAGGGAAACCTGTTTCATTCTTCCAGAGATTTGAGACTGGAACGGAGGTTCACCTTCCAGCAGGACAATGACCCTAAGCATACTGCTAAAGCAACACTCGAGTGGTTTAAGGGGAAACATTTAAATGTCTTGGAATGGCCTTGTCAAAGCCCAGACCTCAATCCAATTGAGAATCTGTGGTATGACTTAAAGATTGCTGTACACCCATCCAACTTGAAGGAGCTGGATCAGTTTTGCCTTGAATAATGGGCAAAAATCCCAGTGGCTAGATATGCCAAGCTTATAGAGACATACCCCAGGAGACTTGCAGCTGTAATTGCTGCAAAAGGTGGCTCTACAAAGTATTGACTTTGGGGAGGGTGAATAGTTATGCACGCTCAAGTTTTCTGTTTCTTTGTCATATTTCTTGTTTGTTTCACAATAAAAAATATTTAGCATCTTCAAAGTGGTAGGCATGTTTTGTAAATCAAATGATACAAACCCCCCAAAAATCCATTTTAATTCCAGGTTGTAAGGCAACAAAATAGGAAAAATGCCAAGGGGAGTGAGTACTTTCGTAAGACACTTTGCTATGAGACTCGAAATTGAGCTCAGGTGCATCCTGTTTCCATTGATCATTCTTGAGATGTTTCTACAGCTTGATGGAGTCCACCTGTGGTAAATTCAACTGATTGGACATGATTTGAAAAGGCACACCCCTGTCTATATAAGGTCCCACAGTTGACAGTGCATTTCAGAGCAAAAACCAAGCCATGAGGTCGAAGGAATTGTCTGTAGAGATCAGAGACAGGATTGTGTCGAGGCACAGATCTGGGGAAGGGTACCAAAAAATGTATGCAGCATTGAAGGTCCCCAAGAACACAGTGGCCTCCATCACACTTGGTTTAATCAGACCAGAGAATCTTGTTTCTCATGGTCTGAGAGTCCTTTAGGTACCTTTTGGCAAACTCCAAGCGGGCTGTCATGTGCCTTTTACTGAGGAGAGGCTTCCGTCTGGCCACTCTACCATAAAGACCTGCAGAGATGGTTGTCCTTCTGGAAGGTTCTCCCATCTCCACAGAGGAGCTCTGTCAGAATGACCATCAGGTTCTTGGTCACCTCCCTGACCAAGGCCATTCTACCCCGATTGCTCAGTATGGCCGGGCGGCCAGCTTTAGGAAGAGTCTGGGTGATTCCAAACTTCTTCCATTTAAGAATGATGGAGGCCACTGTGTTCTTGGGGACCTTCAATGCTGCAGACATTTTTTGGTACCCTTCCCCAGATCTGTTCCTCAACATCCTGTCTCGGAGCTCTACGGACAATTCCTTCGACCTCATGGCTTGGTTTTTGCTCTGCCATGCACTGTCAACTGTGGGACCTTATATAGAGAGGTGTGTGCCTATACACATCATGTCCAATCAATTGAAAATACCACAGGTGGACTCCAATCAAGTTGTAGAAACAGCTTAAGGATGATCAATGGGAACATAATGCACCTGAGCTCAATTTCGAGTCTGATTACTTAAGGTTTTCTGTTTTTGATTTTTAATGAATTTGCAAAAATGTACAAAAACCTGTTTTCGCTTTGTCATTATGGGGTATTGTGTGTAGATTGATGAGGAAAAACATTTATTTAAACAATTTAGAATAAGGCTGTAACGTAACAAAATGTGGAAAAAGGGAAGGGGTCTGAATACTTTTCGAGTGCACTGTAGTACGTTCTATGGATGGTCTTAAACTGCAGTAATTTATCTCTGAGATTATATGAACATGACTGGGCATTCTACCATATCTGTATCCATTCATCATCATCAATTGTGTCTCCCAGGTCTTCCTCACATTTTTTGTATCATCTGTAAAAGCCTCTATCAACCCTTGATACAGTTTGGAAATCAACTTTAGAGGTTTGTCAGACTGCCTTAAAATAGTTTCAATCTGTGAAGGTTATTGCTTGTCCAATGTTTGCAGCACAGAGAGGATAAAGTGTTGTATCAGGAAAAGTTCACATCTGCGCTGTCACAGACTGGCTGTCTGACCCTGATGAGACCCCTGTCACCATCTGATCCTGCTCACATCATTTTATATTTTAGTCATTTAGCAGACGCTCTTATCCAGAGCGACTTACAGTTAGTGAGTGCATACATTTTTTCATACTGGCCCCCCATGGGAAACGAACCCACAACCCTGGCGTTGCAAGCGCCATGCTCTACCAACTGAGCTACATGGGGCCTGTTCTTCATGACAACGAATTGCCTTGGTGTACATTTATACATTATATTATCCATGGATAGAATCAATGGTTCAATCCTTGAAATGACCATTATTCCCAGATCCCAGACTGTAGCCTACCCATCAACTCAAGATAGAACTTTGTATCGAGTTACTGATTGTTATAATATACAGCAAAATTCACCTGAGCACCGTAGACTGGTCTTCCCTGGCTGTCTGACCCTGCAGGGACACCTGTCACCATCTGATCCTGCTAAGACATGATGAGCATAGCGTTGTGTACTGACTCTGCACCATGACAGTGAATCCTGTAGAGCTGTTTATACCGTGTCAGTGTGAAAAGTATGGAATTAGCTAGGGAAACTGACAGATCAATAACGTTACATTGCAATACTGACTAATAAAAACTCACACTGCGCTGAAAAAATGTCAATCGTTTAGCAGCTGGTTTCATCGTTTGATTCAGGTCTAGTGTGGTTGAGGCAAAAAATAATAGCTGAAGTTAGTGATCAAGCTAGCTAGCTAACGCTAGCCAACTTTTGGCTAGCTCTAGCTAATGGTACAATGGTACATCATCATCATAGCAAAGGGTCTGAATACTTATGTAAATAAGGTATTTCTGTTTTTTTATTTTTAATACATTTGCAAAGAAATCTGAACCTGTTTTCGCTTTGTCATTGTGGGGTATTGGGTGTAGATTGATGAGGTAAAAACATTATTTAATCAATTTTAGAATAAGGCTGTAACGTAACAAAATGTAGAAAAAGTCAAGGGGTCTGAATACTTTCCAAATGCACTGTATGATAAACAGAGTAGCAGCAGCGTATATGATGATCGTATGCGAGTGTGTGTTTGTGTGTGTAGAGTCAGTATAAATGTGTGTGCGTGTTATGTGTGTGTGAGCAAATTAAGTGTGTGTGTGTGTGTGTGTGTGTGTGTGTTTTGGAGTGTAAGTGTGAGTGTGTGTGAGTGAGTGTGTAGAATGTGCATAGAATGTGCAAAAAATAGAAGGGTCAATGCAGATAGTCCATGTAGCCATTTTGTTAGCTATTTAGCAGTCTTATGACTTGTGGGTAGAAGCTGTTCAGGAGCCTGCTAGTGTCAGACTTGATGCTCCGGTACCGCTTGTCGTGCAGAAGCAGAGAGAACAGTCTATGGCTTGGGTGGCTGGAGTCTTTAACAATTTTCCGGGCCTTCTTTTCACACCACCTGAGCTCTGCCCAAGTGATGCACTGGGTTGTCCGCACCACCCTCTGTAGCACCACGCGATCGAGGGCGGTCCAGTTGCCATACCAAGCAGTGATGCAGCCAGTAAAGATGCTCTCAATGATGCAGCTGTAGAACTGTTTTGAGGATTTGAGGGCCCCATGGCAAATCTTTTAAAAGCTTGATGTAGTCATTGCGTGCTAGGAATATTGGACCAAATACTACACTTTTTACTAAATGTAATACACTATAAGTGAATTTGTCCAAATACTTATGACACCTTCAAATTGGGAGATAAATAAAGTGCATTTATTTCTAACTGGTAAAACAGATATGTATGAAAATGTGAAAAAAAGGGTGAGATTGTCTACTGTCGCCTCACAAAACATTTGATTTCAAATCCAAAATGCTGGAGTATAGCGCCAAATTAAATGTTTTATCTTCACTGTTCAAATAAATACTGTTTGTAGGGGAGAGTATATAGTTGATCACATACAGCATCTAATTTCCTTTTTTTGTGTTTTCCTTACAAGCCGGAGTTGACACTAGAATTTGGGCGGATCGTGATCTACACCACCAGCTTTCGAGTAGTAAGGACCACGTTTGAACGGTGTGAGTTGGTCCGGAAGATCTTTTCGAACCACAGGGTCAAGTTCCTGGAAAAGAACATAGCCCTGGACTGTGAGTATGGGAAGGACCTGGAAGAACGATGCAAGCGTGTGGGCGAACCTCTCTCTCTACCAGTCGTGTTCATCGATGGACACTATCTCGGGGTCAGTGCTTTCACTTGGTCATACAAGTAATTTTACAATTCCTGGGCCTAAACCATCTCAGACTAGGAGTGCTGATTTAGAATCAGTATGGCCTTTTATATCATAATGAATAAGATTAAATGTACAGAGGGACCAGGGGGTATGAAAAAAAAAAAAATGTTTGCACTAACTGTAAGTCGCTCTGGATAAGAGCGTCTGCTAAATGACTAAAATGTAAATGTAAAAATCACTCCTACACTTCGACGCTTTATGAATACTGTTGACATTTGAAATGACTAACATCCTATTGTGTAACATTATATATAGCATGTATTACCATCAAACAAAATATATAATCCATCTCAGTGCTTGACTTGGGCAGGAGGTCACTGCAGCTGAGGAAAGGCATGTCAAATGTTCAACTGATTGAGTTCCTGCATCTCTTATAACGTGTGTAGCCTCCTGTAGGTCAGTTGGTAGAGCATGGCGTTTGCAACGCCAGGGTTGTGGGTTCGATTCCCAAGGGGGGCCAGTATGAAAAAAGTATGAAAAATGTATGCACTCACTAACTGTATGTGGCTCTGGATAAGAGCGTCTGCTAAATGACTCAAATATAAAATGGAAGGAGAGAGAGCAACCTGTTATGTGGTCCTCTGTAGCTCAATTGGTAGAGCATGGCGCTTGTAACGCCAGGGTAGTGGGTTCGATCCCTGGGACCACCCATACGTAAAAATGTATGCACACATGACTGTAAGTTGCTTTGGATAAAAGCATCTGTTAAATGGCTTATTATTTTATAGAATTATTAGCTCAAAAGTATTGTGGAGCTCCTGCACCGAAATATAAACAGTACCGGCACCCAAACTTTGTACCGGCCCAAGTCAAACACTGATCCATCTTGATCTTATCGAAGTGTTATGAATGTATTAGCTATGAAATTATCAAAGGTCTAGTAATTATATAATGAATCTTACACTATGATAATAACTTTGCAGGGTGCTGAGAAAATATTGGACATGAATGAATCAGGAGAACTTCAGGATCTTCTGGCCAGAATTGAGGTAATTTTTCATCAAGTACCACCAAACGACAGATACAATACATTCAGTAATAACACTTTTAACTGCACAGTTATTAACAAATTCAATGTAATGTTTCAGCTGATGCCTCTGACTCCTCAAATTACAAAAAACTCCAATATATTTGCAATTTAATATGATTAAAATAAACATAAGTGAAACACAGGATATAAACATTTTATTGATCATTCTGATATATCATATTGGCCTACTCATCGATAGTGATATGGCATCAATAATACATCAGTGAACTGACATAAATGATGAACGGGCATCAATAAATGGCCATCAATAATGGAAGGCTTGTTATTGATTCTGCATCCAACAAATATGTTCACACACAGGTGAGGGTCATATAAAAAATGTAGGTTGTGTGAACTGAAGTGTTTCAAACAGAGCCAAGATACTGACAGACATACTACTGTGAAAAGGGCTCTGTATTTAACGTTTTTGAAAGAGAGCGACTCGTTTGTGACTCATTGACACCGCCCCCGGTTAGAGGGGAATAAAGCAGACCAAGAGTTACCCCCACAGGAACGTTATTTAAACACACTGAGGAAGATGAACATGGGGATGCACATGGGAATGAAACGTGGGAAAGGTAGTGGAATGGTAGTGGTTCTGTAGAAGGAAATGAAAGGCAATGAATATACTGTACATACGATATCACAAGAGCAGTAATAACAGTAATAAAGGACTATATAAATGACATTATCCCTGAACATGTTTACAGGTTACAAGCTATACAGAGGCAGCATACATAATGCAACAACAACAACAACTAACTATTAAGAACAATATATACATGTCACACCATCCCACAAGTCCAGAGATATGAGTGAGTTGTTGATGGGCAGAGACAGAGATGTAGCTCTCTGCCACTGCTTGAGGGAGACTGCAAGTATTGTGTGACCTGTATAGTCAAGAGGCTGGGCAGATGTCCGCCCCCCTAGTAACATCCCTAGCAACCTATCATGGCACAGGTCACACAGGTCAGGGAGAGTTTGAGAGGCAGGTTTATGGTACCCCCTAGACTCTCAGGCTCCAGGTGTGGGGGATGGGGAGTGGAGTGTGCAGCTCAGGGTTGTGAGGTGCTGATAACAGTCACCGGCAGGGAATTCGTAACACCTTTCCTCTCAGGGAAAATAACATGTTGTCAACCTTTCAAAGTAAAGAGCCCAATTAGGCATACAACGATGCACGTAAACCCTTAAAGGTCTTGCATACACTACAGGACTATGCTAATTAGCTTTAAATTCAGCCAGTGGCATGACTGGTTGTTTGTGTGTGTGTGTGTGTGTGTGTGTGTCTGCTTTCCCCCAGAGGGTACAGCACCCCCACATGTGCCAGACCTGTGGGGGCTTTGCCTTCGTCCCGTGCCCCATGTGCCATGGTAGCAAGTTGTCCGTTTTCCGCAACTGCTTCACGGACTCGTTCAAAGCCCTGAAGTGCACCTGGTGCAACGAGAATGGCCTAAAGCCCTGTTCCAGCTGCAGCCAATGACGACTCCAAGTGCCTGATGGAAATATCCCCCTTCACCAGGGCCACACGATGTATGGTGTCCATATTAGGACAGCCAGATATACAAACAAGTCCTGCTGAGACTGAGGCTGTCCTAATATGGACACTGTACGAATTGGACAGCGTCAGAGATAGGACTTGGTTTTTCACACCATGGTTTTTCCTCCATGGGAGATTGTCAATAAAGCTGTGGTTTCAAGAAAATATAAGTCTGTAAATGGGTGTTATCTGTGGCGCATGTACGCTTAATTGATCAATTACTTGTTTTAAGTTTCAATTTTCCTTCATTATATGACATTTTCATGGAGCCTTTATGTTGAGGGTTGAAGTCAAGGTTTTATACATCAGCCTGTCCTAAAATGTAAAAAGCTGTTCCCCCCCACCCCATTTAAATGGGAACAATGAGTTGAACAGATAAATCCAGGGTCAGTCTAGGACTCCACCAATATAATCTAGGGTTGGTCATTGAGGTGTAAGACAATCGCTGATATGTAACAGCGTAGTGGTGACTTGATGACCTAAAGTTTGTGAGATAATTAAGCTTAATTAAGCTTTCATCACTAATCCTACATGGCCGACATGGATCAGGGTAAAGGAGCAGAGAGGGAAAGAAAATAATTAGGGGTACACTTTATTGGGCCACTCCACTTAAATAAAATAAGCTCAAAAATAAAAGGAGAATAATATTAGAAGCTCTGGTTTAAAGCTCTGGTAGAATAAAATAATATCAACGTTTATTAGGATGAGGAGAGAAAAGCGCTTTCCTTAGTCATTAAATAGATGAAGTAGTCAATTCCAGTTTAATAGTACTGGAAATGTGTGAATAGAAACAATGAAAGCATAATAGATTCCTTAGACATAGGATGTTAGGCATCAGGACTACTGACTAACCAAGCTTACTGTTAGGGAGCTTAATAATGTATAAGTCACCAACGGATTTATACTAGTTAGGTTTCCATTCAATTATTCAAGCCACAGAAAGGACTTTGACTGCAACTCAATCTCTTACCCTGAGGATAAAGAAGAGGGACCCATTTACAGAGTTGTCTTTGAGACTTGTGTGTACAACACTGCTTTTGAGTACACTTTCTTTATACATCAATAATACCTTGCAACTAAACAGCAGATTTAAAAAAGCCAGTATTAAACTTGCATGTTTAGAGTAACACAATTATACTGTGTGAGACACGTGGTACCTTTTTATCTCCACTTTTGTTGAGTCTGTATTTTTTGGATGTAAGATGTCATTCTCGGTCTGGCTGCCATCTAGTGTCAAATAAATGCAGACAGGCATCTCCGCGGCGAGGATCTCTCTTCGCTGTCATAGCCCTGTACAATGCTGCTTGAACATGATTTTACAAGGCAGCACTGTAAAGAGGCTAAAAGCAAAGAGTAAGGCGCATCACTTTCACTCTCGACACTAGACTTTAATAGATGCCACACTGACTGCTAATAATTTATCATGTAGCTCATGATATGCCTGATACATTCGGTGGGATGTGGAGCATAATCCGATTTATTTCATACATTCTTAACCATAATCTAAGATTGGGGAATAGTGTAAGGACATTGGGTCGTGGAGATGAAGAAACCCAATAGCATGCCCGATCATGGTCTATTGCGCCCCCATCCGTAGGTTAAATCTTGGAAGAGAGAAAAACGGTGCTGGAATATATATATAAAAAATCTAACAATGCATTGCATTGGCCAATATCATTAGCATATAGTATAACCTGTCCAATTTACTCTACACAACACAGTTTGTTGGTGGCGTTGCTATAGGCCTACGCACATGTTGATAACGGTTGATTATCTCAAGAGTGTGCCTTTGGTTATTTCCCACAGGTTTGCAATACGAGACATATGTAATCATGCTGTTTTATAGGCGTTGTTAATCCCACATTAAAAACGCATTAAATTACATAAGGGATAAAAGGATACATGAAAGAAAACGACAAGATGGGCAGAAGCACAATTGATCTGGGAATGGCATGACATTGATGCGCACGCACTCTCAACGCCCGATTAAATATGTTACACGACATTTAATAACAAAAAACCTTGAACGTCGCGTGTCCTTTTTCAGCATTTTCTGATGTGCCATAGTGGACAATTGTTTCTCCTTCGGAGAAGCCTACTTGGTCCTGCCGTGATGCTGTGCGTAATGTTTTTCAATGGTTGGTTAATGCGCATGCTGGTTGAATATGACTGTTTTTATTGACGTCATCGCACAGGCTACTGCTTTTTCTTATTATATACAGAGCCTCATTCCTATAATTGCACCGTCCAATTGCCCACATTCATCCATAGGGAATGAAGATGCGCGCGTAGCCTATAAACACCAACATCTGCATGATATGCTTTTCAGATAATTTAAATTGCCCTGCTGATAAATTGAAGCTTACGGGACTTATTTATTTTTACGTTTTTCTTTTAACTCAGGGTGATCCAAGACAATCCTGTAGCCTATGTTGGCTATATTGATAACTAATAATTGACTAATACGTTTTATGCTTCAGCAAATGTTGCATAAAACATTAAGCATGGGTCAGAAATATCTAGCCTAGTGCAGAGAGGCCTGTTGTACTATATTGGTAAATACATCTAAATTGTTGCACCCTAATACTGGCGCGCAAACATTCAGCACCATGGACAGTACCAACGCCACACTCAGCTCATAATAAGCGAAGATTTCACACACCTAGTCGCGTCTAGTTGTGTAGGGCTGTGGCTGTAAGGCCTGCACAATACACTGAGTGTACAAAACAGAAGGAACACCTTCCTAATATTGAGTTGCAGCCTCAATTCCTCCGGGCATGGACTCTGCAAGGTGTCGAAAGCGTTCCACAGGTATGCTGGCCCATGTTGACTTCAATGCTTCCCACAGTTATGTCAAGTTGCCTGGATGTCCTTTGGGTGGTGGACCATTCTTGATAGGCACGGGAAACTGTTGAGCGTGAAAAAACCAGCAGAGTTGCAGTTCTTGACACACTCAAACCGGTGTGCCTGGCACCTTCTACCATAACCCATTCAAAGGCAGTTCAATATTTTATCTTACCCATTCACCCTCTGAATGTCACACATACACAATCATGTCTCAATAGTCTCAAGTCTTAAAAATCATTCTTTAACCTGTCTCCTCCCCTTCATCTACACTGATTGAAGTGGATGTAACATGTGACATCAATAAGGGATCATAGCTTTCACCTGGTCAGTCTGTCATGGAAAGAGCAGGTGTTCCTAATGTTTTGTACACTGTGTAGACTGCCATGCTTTTTGCTATCGTACACATTTCCTTTCCCCCTGAACTTGGAAACGTACTGTATACTACGGCCAGTTTCCTGGACTTTGATTGAGCTTAGTCCTAAACTTAAAAACACTTTTAATGGAGATTCTCCATTGAAAGCGCTTCTTCCAAGACTAAGCCTAATCTGTGTCTGGGCAACTGTCATATTGGGAATACATTTGAAGGTTATTGCAATACTGCTCTCCCTGTAGGTATCCAATAGGAACCCGAACCACCACTAGATAGTAGGGCCCCACAATAGAAAAAAGATAAGGTACCGGATGGGAAGACAGGGAGGATATTAATATTCTGTCTCTCAAGGGGACAAATACCCAGTGTGGAATTGTGATAGTCCAAAGTTTCACAGGCATTCCTTGTGTTGAACGACAGTATTTCCTCCCCATTCAAAACCATTACAGGAGTAATTCATCAGTCTTTGGGAAGATACTAACAACAACAAAAAAGATAATGTTCATAAATGTATTTATTTATTTTAAGTCCTTCAGCAGTTATTCCATTGTTCTATAACCAAAGGGAAATCTTACATAATCAATGAACACATTTAAAAATATATCCACCCCCGACAAAACAGAAACAACTCCAGGCCACCTCTAAAGAAAGCAGAGTATGTATTCACCATTGGGGTATAAGCTTACAGCTGTGTCTCTGCAACCTGCTGTATATTGGCCAGACTGTCTGTTACATAAACACAGACTTCAAAGAAAAGCAGTCACTGAATGCAACAAGTCTGTTCAGGAGGGTGACATTTTACAGAACATTCAGACAGATATTAATTGTATAGCACAGCTATGATTTTCTGTCATATAGAATAGGAATCGTGTCAGCTCTATTCATTACATTTCTATCTGCAACGTTGTGAATGTTTTACCTCACTGAATACACCCCAGGTTGGAGCAGAAATATCAAGCTGGGAAGGTCAAAGTTGGGACAACGGCTGTACAAACATCACAATCTTTTATGGATAGTCAGAGCATTAATATTATGTATTATTTGTCCTGGTCTTATTAGTTTTTACACTGAACTGTCCACGGTAAAACATTAAGAGTTTTATTATTTCACAAAAGGCTCAGAAACAAATTGGCTACCGACAGCCCACTATTATTTACACTGGTAAAGGAGGGGACGTTCGTTCGGTCTGGGTGTCCGAAGACCACTTCATCTTTGGAGCAAAACACACAATCTGTCGTCTGCTGACAAGCCCGCTGAGAGAGCAAACGAGTGACCGTCCCCACGTTTGCAGAACTTCATAGCAACACGCAGAGGTCAGCTGTGCTAGCAAAAGGGAGCGAGGTAAGAGCAAGGGACACTACTGCCTACAACTGGATGAATTTGGAAATGATGCATCTTACATTTACATTTTTTTTTACATTTAAGGGTGCCTGATACACCAGCAGCAACTGGTTTGATTTCTCATTAAGTGCTACTGTATTCAAGATCAGTCAGCTTACTCTTTTAAACATATAACATCACTAACTCTTAGAACACTTTTGAACAACTCTTCTTTCATCAATGGTATATGCTACCAATAACATTGTTATTGTAACGCAATCTAGTCATCACTAATTCAAAATTCCAATCAATGAACTGGTGAGATGCCAGCTTTGCAGTGCGCATAGGTACTTGTCCCACAATATAAATAAAAAATATATATACTTTCTCTACATACTTCAAACTTATACTCAAGTAAACTCTATGCTGCTTTTGTCAAGAGCACTTGTATAATTATTTGCATTCATAAGGGAATTTTTGCAGAAGGAGTGTGGTTCTATGTAGCTTCATGTAGAACTGCTTATTGATACTGGTCCATTTGACTCTGAATAGTCCGAAGACATGATTTTTCAACTCACTTCTTTTTCTTTGTGCAGAAACATGAACAAAAGTCAACGAATGAGAACTATATTCAAAAAGGTAACTGTACATCCACTGCCTGAGAGTGACAACGCACTACAACCATGTCTAAATAAATCAACACTGTCCCAGCACGTGTGTCTGGTGCTTATGTGATGCAGGGCTATTCTACAGTAAGACTTCTTCTGATGAGTTGGTTGGAGACAGTGGGAGGGAGATAAGCAGAGTGCAGAGGTCGGCTTGGCTCTCCTCCCCCCCTTCTTGTTGTAGCACAACTTTCCCCGTGTAGATCCGTAGTGTTATAGAATCTCCAGGTCGACGTGCCGTACCTCTGGATTGCGTTGCTGTTGAGGGACAAAAAACAACACATTAAATCTTACCACTTCTTTTTAGCATTAAATGAATGTCAACAATTATCTTGGATGATAATGTGATATCATGAGAGTGGTATCTGGTTCTGATCACTAACCCATCATTGGACAGGAAAAGTTACAATGCTCACTCACCATTAAAAATAAATAGTTTTATTAGACAAGTTTAAAATAGACGTTTCGGCCTACAATGGCCTGCTTCAGAATAATCCCAAAGGGAATGGACAAGTTCATACAGGGCATGGGGAACACAATTAGGGAGAAAACTCTCTTCAGCTGGTGGTGCTAATGAGAGACAGCGTGGTAGACCATACAGGTTAGTACTAAGGGTCTGGTGTGCTGTGGTCAATGTCTCCACCTATTGATGAAATACAGAAGTGATACCAGTAAACAACAATTGGAAAACTGTGCAAGCTTTTTTCAACTACAATAGGTGTAATTGATATACAACCACTACTATATAATACATGTTGAATATGTTGTGTATTGAAAAATGAACAGGGCTAAGCAAAACTAGGGATAGCAACAATAAACATCAAAAGCTCAGGCAAAGTGGTCTAACAACTGGTTTGGACAACAGTTAGTGAGCTAGTAAGCTCCCTCCATGTGTAAACAAGAAGTACAAATAGGGGGGGGGGGGGTTGTCAATGGACCAACAAAGGGATGGAGCTCGTCACCAAAGCATACTATAGTCCTCTAGATTAAGTCTGGGGACTAAAGTATCTAAGTAATGGATCCAGAACGTCTCTCTGGACCTTCGGTGTATGTCAACATCGCCACCGCGTTTGTTTTTACTGACTTGTTCAATTCCAAACAAAAAAACAAAAACAAAGAGAATCACAAAGCGAGTGTCCTCTCTTTGAAATGGAGGGCCACTGGGCTGTTGGGGTCAGCACGTGTAATGGCACTTCGGTGCTCACACATTCTAGTGCGTGACTCCCTTGAAGTTTATCCTACGTAAAATAAGCCACACGGCCAGCGAATCACATAGATCACATTGCGAGAATGACAATTGATGGTACTTTTGATTTTTATGTCTCCACCCGGTCTGGGGTGCGAGAAACTTTTCCTATGTTTTGTGTACTGGCATTGAGTAAATTGCCACACTTGTAGTTGCCGGGGGGAATATGCAGGAGGCTGGTCTTGTTTGCGCCTTGGCTGATGTCGGATCGGACAACACAGTCTTTAATGTTTTTAGCTCTACGGTAGGCGGCCGCAGACTGAAATGTATTACATAGAGTGGAGTCTGAGCGTAGAATATGCCAATGTTTTTTAATGATGCCTAGTAGTTCTGGACTTTGTGAGGTGTAGGTAGTGACCTGTTGGACAGGTCTGGCTCTAGGGCTTGCTCAGTAGTTGTGCTGAACATCCATGAGTTTACTTTCAGCTTGATTTAACCATGTCTGATTGTAGCCCTTTGCTCTAAATCTTTCTAGGAGTTCATCCTTTCTTCTGTTGAATGCACTTCAACAGATCACCAACTAAGAGTTAATACAAGCTATGTGTATGGTGTTGAAATGTAACATGTTGGTGGTGGAGCTACGGAGGGGTAAGTACAGACATGCATTCCAATTCCCTAACATGAAGTGTGCACTCCCTTACTCTACTTCGTGGATTGGTTCTTCAAGCATTGAATCGATATAAGCATGTGCACACTTTGGGGAGAAGGGTACATAGAGAATGGGAGTGCGGTGCCACTCTACCTTGAGTTCCTTCTCCAGGCGGTCCACCTCGGCCCCCAGGGTGTCGATGATGTTCTCGCCGTGCTTCAGCATGAAGTTCTCCAGCTCATCAGTGGTCTTCACCTGCTGGATGTCCTATAAGCCACAACAAAGTAACAAACATACAGGTAACTGCCAAAATAATGGATACACTTGAGTAAATGAGGGATACAAAGTATATTGAAAGCAGGTGCGGCTTCTGAGTTAATTCAGCAATTAACATCCCATCATGCTTAGGGTCATGTACAGTGCCTTCGGAAAGTATTCAGACCCCTTGACTTTTTCCACATTTTGTTAGGTTACAGCCTTATTCTAAAAATGATTACATCGTTCCCCCCCCCATCAATCTATACACAATACCCCATAATGACAAAGCAAAAACAGGTTATTAGAAATGTTTGCTAATTTATAAAAAATAAACGGAAATATCACATTTACATAAGTATTCAGACCCTTTACTCAATACTTTGTTGAAGCACCTTTGACAGCGATTACAGCCTCAAGTCTTATTGGGTATGATGCTACAAGCTTGGCACACTTGTATTTGGAGAGTTTCTGCCGTTCTTCTCTGCAGATCCTCTCAAGCTCTGTCAGGTTGGATGGGGAGCGTCGCTGCACAGCTATTTTCAGGTCTCTCTAGAGATGTTCGATCTGGTTCAAATCCGGGCTGTGGCTGTGCCACTCAAAGACATTCAGAGACTTGTCCCGAAGCCACTCCTGCGTTGTCTTGGCTGTGTGCTTAGGGTCGTTGTCCTGTTGGAAGGTGAACCTTCACCCCAGTCTGAGGTCCTGAGCAGGTTTTCATCAAGGATCTCTCTGTACTTTGCTCCGTTCATCTTTGCCTCGATCCTGACTAGTCACCCAGTCCCTCTTCCATCTCCACAGAGGAACGCTAGAGCTCTGTCAAAGTGACCATCAAGTTCTGTATGAACAAGGCCCTTCTCCCCCGATTGCTCAGTTTGGCCGGGCGGCCAGCTCTAGGAAAAGTCTTTGCGGTTCCAAACTTCTTCCATTTAAGAATGGAGGAGGCAACTGTGTCCTTGGGGACCTTCAATGCTGCAGAAATGTTTTGGTACCCTTCCCCAGATCTGTGCCGCGACAAAATCCTATCTCAGAGCTCTACGGACAATTCCTTCAACCTCATGGCTTGGTTCTTGCTCTGACATGCACTGTCAACTGTGGGACCTTATATAGACAGGTGTGTGCCTTTCCAAATCATGTCCAATCAATTTACCACAGGTGGACTCCAATCAAGTTGTAGAAACATCTCAAGGATGATCAATGGAAACAGGATGCACCTGAGTTCAATTTCGAGTCTCATAACAAAGGGTCTGAATAGTTATGTAAATAAGGTATTTCTGTTTTTTGATACATTTAACATTTATTTTCTAAAAACCTGTTTTCGCTTTGACATTATGGGGTAGTGTGTGCAGATTGCTGAGGATTTTTATTTATTTAATACATTTTCGATTAAGGCTTTAACGTAACAAAATGTGGGAAAAGTCAAGGGGTCTGAATACTTTCCGAAGGCACTGGGCAGGCCATTATTTTGCTGGGCAGGCCATTATTTTGGCTACCATGGTTATGCCCCCATAGGATGACAATGCCCCCCATCCACAGGGCACTTGTAGAATCTATGCCAAGGTGCATTGAAGCTATTCTGGCTCGTGGTGGCCCAATGCCCTATTAAGACACTATGTTTGTGTTTCCTTTATTTTGGCAGTTACCTGTACACTCAGTACTTTGACTAGATAATCATGCACACACACACACCTAGCTCTGTTACATTCAGCGAGTCATGTATCATTAAGCAATATTCAGTCACTGTTACATAAAGTACAAGACAGTATTAAAATCAGTTTGAAATAAAACATTTCCCCAGCACCATCCTTCAGCTGGATACCAAAACAAGAGGAAGGGTTACCGTTTGGGTGAAAAACAAAATTCCAGATTGCAGCTTTAAAGGATCGTACAATGTCTATCAATGCAGATGGATTACTAGGGATGTTTAACTCTCCAAACCAGAAAGACCAAAAAAAAAGCTATGGTGATAAACAGTCGCCTTCATGAAACACTTCTTAGCATTACATTAGCCTTACGTTGAGGATCTGTTCGATGTCTTGCTTCTCCAGGTAGGAGCGTGTCACCACCCTCCCGTCAAAGTCCACCTCCGCCTTGAAGCGCACTTTACTTAGCCCCAGGTCTGTGGCCTTCACATCGTGGATCGCCCTGGTCACAGCAAAAACCAAAAAAAGTGTTAGTTACATCTTTTTTCAAATGTATTTTATATTAGAGACCACAAGTGTAAATGAGCTATGTATCCAACTCGTCGGCAATATTTATTTTGTGTATGGTCACTGACAAATAAACCATAACATTAATACATTTCAAGAGCAGATCACGTACTGCAGGGATCGGCAACATGCAGCCAGCGGGCCAAAACTGTGATTTATTTTGTTTTTTTAAAAGTAGTTGTTTCAACAAAAAAAAAAAAAAAAAAGGAGAAACAGGAATTCAGCTAAAAATGTTTAATTTAGGAAATACATTACATGACCAAAAGGTCATGGGCATTAATATGGAGTTGGTCCCCCCCTTTGCTGCTAAAACAGCCTCCACTCTTCTAGCAAGGCTTTCCACTAGATGTTGGAACATTGCTGCGGGGGCTTGCTTCCATTCAGCCACGAGCATTAGAGAAGTCGGGCACTGATGTTGGGCGATTAGGCCTGGCTCGCAGTCAGCATTCCTATTCATCCCAAAGGTGTTCAGTGGGGTTGAGGTCAGGTCTCTGTACAGGCCAGTCAAGTTCTTCTACACCGATCTCGACAAACCATTTCTGTATGGTCCTAGCTTTGTGCACAGCGGCATTGTCATGCTGAAACAGGAAAGGGCCTTACCCAAACTGTTACCACAAAGCTGGAAGCACAGAATCGTATGCTGTAGTGTTAAGATTTCCCTTCAAAAGGAACTAAGGGGCCTAACCCGAACCATGAAAAACAGCCCCAGACCATTATTCCTCCTCCACCAAACTTTACATTTAAGTCATTTAGCAGACGCTCTTATCCAGAGCGACTTACAGTTAGTGAGTGCATACATTATTTTATTTTTCATACTGGCCCCCCGTGGGAATTGAACCCACAACCCTGGCATTGCAAACGCCATGCTCTACCAACTGAGCTACATCCCTGCCGGCCATTCCCTCCCCTACGCAGGGCCAATTATGCGCCGCCCCATGGGTCTCCCGGTCACGGCCGGCTACGACAGAGCCTGGATTTACAGTTGGTACTATGCATTGCGGCAGGTAGTATTCTCCTGCCATCCGCCAAACCCAGATTTGTCAGTCGGACTGCCAGATGGTCAAGCGTGATTCATCACTCCAGAGAACGTGTTTCCAATGGCGGCGAGCTTTACACCACTCAAGCCGACGCTTGGCATTGTGCATGGTGATCTTAGGCTTTTGTGTAGTTGTTCGGCCATGGAAACTCATTTCATTAAGCTCCTGACAAACAATATATTTCGGCTCTAATTTCTCAGATTCCAAAATGCTAATTAGCATCAAAGTAGACATCATGCAAAACTACAAATCCCTGCAAGCTCCTGAACATCATCTCTTGCTGACACCTTTGCTAACAGGTATTGTGTCAATTTAAAAACTTCAATTCACAAAACAGTTCACAGAATTGCCCATTTAAAGAAATGTAGCCGATTTATTCATTACTACATTTAGCTAACATTAGATAGTTAATCCAAAGATTCTTATCTTTGCCTCGAGTCGGCAGTCTCGTCCAGATCATCATGGCATTTGTAGTTCTTTATGATAGCCACATTAGCATTTCATTTTTGGGAGGGGTAAATACAGGCAAATATATTGATAAAAGTCACCTTGTCCTAGAGAGATTTACACGGTTATCAAAACGTCACGCCAGGGTAAGCCTACACAAAACACAGCCCTTATTTGAAGTGTTTCTAAAATCCCCTATGGGAAAAGTGAATGGTGGAAAAACGATTGGAACCATTTCCCTGTTTGAGCGCTAGGTTTTATGGGTATTATAACTCATAATGTGGTACTCTATGGTGTCAGTGCTGAGGCCTGATTGTGTGGTGGGATAGGCCAGGGTCATGGTCATTAGGAGGTATGCAACAGAACACATTTTCAATCGCGTTGCATCTGAAAATTAAAAGGAGTGTTTCTTATTGGACCAAGTCAAGGTAGTCCCACCCTGTTTTTCCTTCTGATTGGTGCCTAATGAACACAACCCTGGTACAGGGATAGAGAGGCCTGGGGCTGGAGCGCCACTGACCTAACAGCGATGTTGCAATAGTAAGACAAAAATGAGTGTTTCTTATTGGAAAACTCCAGGTAGTGCCCTCCTGTTTGTCTTTTTGTTTTTGTCATTACAAAAATAAATAAAACATCTGTTTGGTGCCTAATAAAAACGACCCTGGGACACTGGACATGGCGGCCACTGACTAACCGGACAGCGGGATCATTCTCCAGGAACTCCGTGAGTTTCTGGACGTGCTCGGCCTGGATGGAGCGTCCCAGCAGTGCCTCCGTGTTTGTGTAGATGAGGAAGGCTGACACTACGCCCAGTAGGGTTCCCACACCCAGAGAGCCCAGGCTGTCGTACAGCGGGTTACCTGGCACAGGGCACGAGGGAAAGAGAGAGAGTTGGTCTATGTCCCAAATTGTACCATATTCACGGTATAGTGCACTAGTTTTGACCAGGGACAATGGGGCTCCAAATGGCACCCTATTCACTATTTAGTGCAGTACTATGTATTGCACCATCTAGGGAATAGGGTGTCCTTTGGGACGCAGACTAAATAAGGAGTTGTGGCTTAACCATTGACCCGTTCCAGGTCATCTGCATTTGTAGGCTGCATTGGATGTTAGTACTGTGTATATATTTCAGACTCAGAATACACAGCACTGGTTCACACAGAATACACAACATTGGTAATATTAAGTATTTGACTGGCCAGAGAATTTAGACAGCTGGGTTACTGTTAGGGTAACTCGAGAACTCAAGTTGTGCAATGTTGGCCCACTGGAGGGGCCCGTGGTTGTGTGAGCACCTGGGAGTGAAGTGCCTACGTGTGGGGAAATGAATAGCATCTCTGTGTAGGTGTGTGTACACTTGTGAGTCCTGTGTGTGTGTGTGTGTGTGTGTGTATGTACATGTGAGTGAGATGAGCTGTGTGTGTGTGTGTGTGTGTGTGTGTACACCTGTGAGTACCTGTGAGTGAGATGAGCTGTGTGTACCTGTGAGCGAGGTGAGCCCCATGCAGCTTGAGGCCATGATCACTCCCAGCACAGCAGCAGAGTCTTCCAGCAGCACCACATTAGTGCTGGGGTCTCGGCTTTGCATCACTGCACATCAAAACAACATACTGCTTTACTGATCACAACAATAACTACTGATGTACATACATATTGTAAGGGATGACATGTAGATAACTTTATCTCACAAAATCATTGATGTAGCTACATAATGCAATACATGCTAACAACTAACTTATAAAATAATTTGGAATTAAGACTGGGGTAATGTTAAAACTTGGGTAGGTACTCTAGTTATTGATGCATACCAGTACATCAAATAAAAAGGTTACAAAACAAATACGCATTGTACGAACCATATTCATAGAAGGACACTCCTTGCTGGCCAGCACTCTTTTTAATTTCATTGATGGCCACTAGCAGTGTTGCTGAGAGGGAGATAGAAGAAGCAAAAAGAAACATGCAAATCCATAGAACAGTCAGTGTACCTTCCTATTGAACACATATACTGCATTACATCCATTTTAAATACAAGTACATATCATGGGTTCCATAGAACAGTCAGTGTACCTTCCTATTGAACACATATACTGCATTACATCCATTTATTTTTAATACAAGTACATATCACGGGCTATCAAGCGTCTCAGAATAGGAGTGCCGATCTAAGATAAGTTCCCCCCCCCGTCCAGGTAATGTTATTCATATTGACCTAAAAAGGCAAAACTGATCCCAAATCAGAACTCCTACTCCGAGACACTTGATGAATACAGTCCCAGAGGGTGATAGTAATTTCAGACCATAAGATACCTCCTTCTGAGACCAGAGATCCTGCCAAGATACAGTAAGCCTGCAAGAGACAAAACACAAACCAACAATTAAGAGGGACATCGTTCCAAAAGCACGGTTCGATCAACCACTTTGGCAAATAGACAAGAGGACGTAACAGTTACTCAAATCAAAGATTATGTGAATGTTTGATACCGACAACATTGCAGTCGGACTGTGCAGAATCACTGTACAAATCTTGCATTCCAAATAGCTAATATGTGATTAAGATGAGCTATTCTGCACGTGGTCATGCCCAAACTGATCCCCTCAGCAGCAGTAACAATGTGGCCACTCACCCAAAGCAGAGACTCGATTGGCTGTGGGTGCAGCAGTCCCATGATGCCGTGGTACCAAGAGAGACCTGCTCCCATCATGAAGATGCCCACGCCGCTGATGAGCGAGGCGATGTAGCGCATGTTGGAGAAGCCGTACCTTAAAGTCAGAGAATAAAACATGTGTTTTATATCTGCACTCACCCCCTCCAGAAGACAGACACACACACACACAGGTTGGAGCAGAGGATCAACAGAGTATCATTTAATGGTGGTGTGGTCCTTACGGGTGGACAGCGTCAGGGTTCCGGACAGACTGGCTGATGCCGATTGCAAGAAGAGCCTGCAGGAGAGAGTGATGAGGTATAAATCGAATCTGCAGCCTTTACAAAATATACTGTATATGACACATTGTTTACAATGACTATCATACAGTACATTCCAGCTCTGGCTTTTAAGACACTCATGGAAACTGGTGTTATCCATTGCAATCAGGGATGGGACTGTGATGGAACATTTTATGTTTGTGCTTTTCTAATAACAGTTTTCTGTGTTCATGCAAGTGACTGACTGAACGAACCCTCACTATCAGTATCTGTAATTTGGCACTACGCCCAGACCCTTGTTTTGAGAACGAAAGATGTCGCAGTTCCAAGGTCTCAGCTTAGAGAGAAGAAGCCTCATGAGGTATTGGTCTGTCACATGCATGACCCAGTATAGGTCAGTCACATGAATGAAGCAAACGTTAATTATGAATTAATTATGAATGAATAAGCTAAATCATGCAAATATAACTTGTCTGTATATAAGAGATCTAACGGGACTGCCCCGGGAGAGCTCCTGACAGACATTCACTATGGCGCATCAAGTTTGTTGGAACCTCTCCAGTTAACTGATAATAAACAATGATTCATTTAAGATTGACTTCGAGTGTCCCTGTGTAAGAATGTCCACAACAGGACCAACTCTATTAATCACGAATTCTAACTCATCCCTAATTGCAATATCAGGGTATGTGACGATATGTGCACTTCTTGGTAGCCAGTGGATTTGGAGGGCATGTCCCAATAACATATCTTTCCTCCTGAAGTGTGCACTCATTCACTACTTCCCACAAATCTCAAAGCATTGGATTGATTGAGGCATGGGATCGTGGGAGTTTCCACAATATTTCCGATACCAGTCATTACCTTTCAAATCAGCGAAGGGGAGTGAACAAGGGCACACTTTAGGAGGAAGGAGAGATAATTAGGACATAGCCACTGTATCTGACCTGGTTGCAGGTGTCAGCCAGGGAGTGAATGGCCTCTGAGAACATGCTGGCTGATCCAGTGTACACCCAAGCCAGGAGCTTGAAGAAGAAATTCAGTCCATTACTGAGGGCAGAGAGAACAACACAATCAACCTTAAAAACCAACTCACGTCAATCAGAGAGGACAATAAAATAGTAGTTTTCATATAGCGCGAGTTAAAAGTTTACGCTCACTAATATACAATTCAATGGCCGGTGTTTAACCCATAGAATAATGTTTCGTTTTACTTCCTTTTCTTTGCATGATTGAGCATACTTTCCAACTCAATGTATCAACTGATAACAATTACTTGGATTGAGGATGTATCCAGACAAGAGTTAAGACCCATACTGTGTGTCTTGTAAATTAATTACGCTAACTCCTAAACTTCCTGCATGACATGGGGGTTAATGTGAACAGACACAGTGCAGTCCCTCATGTGACTGTCATGCCTGCTAACTCAATAGCTCTAATCCAATACACCAACAGTGTCTCGTGTGAGAACCTACCCCTTTCCCTGATCAACTTGTACTTTACTCACATTTGAATCCCCGGCTGAAGAAAATGAAATGGAACTACAGTTAAACAATTCTGGCATGCATAAGAATAAAATCGGCTGTTTTTTTGTGGGGTTTTCGTGAGTTTTCATGAAGGTCAATTTAACAGTAGGGTATGACAAAAGTAATGAGACACTATTCTGGGAGGAGGGGGGAAACAGGTGAGGAAAAGGAGACTTACATGCATATGGCCACCATCACCACCTTCCCCGGCCCTTGTGAAAATGTCGCCCTATTGCTGCCTGATCGGGGCTACATGACAGGAGAAGGGAGAGAAAAGATCAAGCCTACTGGAGATAATGTCTGCTATATCAGAATTATGATTCTAGGAAAAGCAATAGCGTCAATTCCATTCTAAATTAATTCAAATAAAATATTTTTATCTGAGGATTTTCAATGAAAGTCTTAATCTGGAATAGACCCCTACATAATATATACTTCCAGAGAATGTTACAAAATAAGTTAGAGACACTACCCATCTTTCGTTTAACCATCAGAGCCCTTCATATACAGTGCCTTCGGAAAGTATTCAGACCCCTTGACTCTTTCCACATTTTGTTACATTATTATTCTAAAATATATATTATTTTTGTATTCCCTCAGCAATCTACACACATTACCCCATAATGACAAAGTGAAAACAGGTATTTATAAATGTTTGCAAATGTACTACAAATTAAAAACAGAAATACCTTATTTACATACGTATTCAGACCCTTTGCTATGAGACTCGAAATTGAGCTCAGGTGCATCCTGTTTCCATTGATCATCCTTGAGATGTTTCTACAACTTGGAGTCCACCTGTGGTTTGGAACCACCAAGACTCTTCCTAGAGCTGGCCGCCTGGCAAAACTGAGCAATCAGGGGAGAAGGGCCTTGGTCAGGGAGGTGACCAAGAACCCGATGTTCACTCTGACAGAGCTCTAGAGTTCCTCTGTTGAGATGGGAGAACCTTCCAGAAGGACAACAATCTCTGCAGCACTCCACCAATCAGGCCTTTATGGTAGAGTGGCCAGACAGAAGCCACTCCTCAGTAAAAGGCACATGACAGCCTGCTTGGAGTTTGCCAAAAGGCACCTAAAGACTCTGACTATGAGAAACAACATTCTCTGGTCTGATGAAACCAAGATTGAACTCTTTGGCCTGAATGCCAAGCGTCACGTCTGGAGGAAACCTGGCACCAGCCCTACGGTGAAGCATGGTGGTTGCAGCATCATGCTGTGGGGATGTTTTTCAGCGGCAGGGACTGGGAGACTAGTCAGGATCAAAGGAAAGATGAACGGAGCAAAGTACAGAGAGATCCTTGATGACAACCTGCTCCAGAGCGCTCAGGACCACAGATTGGGGCGAAGGTTCACCTTCCAATAGGACAACAACCCTAAGCACACAGCCAAGACAACGCAGGAGAGGCTTCGGGACAAGTCCCTGAATGTCCTTGAGTGGCCCAGCCTGAGCCCAGACTTGAACCCGATCGAACATCTCTGGAGAGACCTTAAAATAGCTGTGCAGCAACGCTCCCCATCCAAACCAAGCTTGAGAGGATCTGCAGAGAAGATTTGTAAAAACTCCCCAAATACAGGTGTGCCAAGCTTGTAGCGTTATACCCAGGAAGGCTCGATGCTGTAATCGCTGCCAAAGGTGCTTCAACAAAGTACTGAGTAAAGCGTCTGAATACTTATGTAAATGTGATGTTTATTTTTATTTTTAATACATTCGCAAACATTTCTAAAAACCTGTTTTTGCTTTGTCATTATGGGGTATTGTGTGTTGATTGATGAGGGGGAAAAAACTATTTAATTAATTTTAGAATGAGGATGTAATGTAACAAAATGTGGAAAAAGTCAAGGCACTAGCTGAGTCAAAGGTAGCATATTTAGAGGATTTTCAGCACACAAAAATTAAGTACAGTATAGAATGCACCATCACATGCTAGGTGGTGCAGTACTGTACTGTAAAGGATCATTGAAAGGAGACCAGCGTTATACAGAGGCACTGTGTCAATGAACGTTGGTGAGAATGAAACAATGTCATGTAAATGCATACACTACCGTTCAAAAGTTTGGTGTCACTTAGAAATGAGTTGCAAAGAAAAAGCCATATCTCAGACTGCCCATCTTAATCTTTTCTTTTTATTGGCCAGTCTGAGATATGGCTTTACCTTTGCAACTCTGCCTAGAAGGTCAGCATCCCGGACTCGCCTCTTCACTGTTGACGTTGAGACTGGTGTTTTGCGGGTAACCATTTCATGAAGCTGCCAGTTGAGGACCTGTGATGCGCCTGTTTCTCAAACTAGACACTAATGTATTTGTCCTCTTGCTCAGTTGTGCACCGGGGCCTCCCACTCCTCTTTTTATTCTGGTTAGAGCCAGTTTGCGCTGTTCTGTGAAGGGAGTAGTACACAGCGTTGTACGAGATCTTCAGTTTCTTGGCAATTTCTCGTATGGAATAGCCTTAATTTCTCAGAACAAGAATGGACTGATGAGTTTCAGAAGAAAGTTATTTGTTTCTGGCCATTTTGAGCCTGTAATTCGAACCCACAATTGCTGACGCTCCAGATACTCAACTAGTCTCAAGAAGGCCAGTTTTATTGCTTCTTTAAAATCAGCACAACAGTTTTCAGCTGTGCTAACATAATTGGGTTTTCATAAGTGTTTTCTAATGATCAATTAGCCTTTTAAAATGATAAACTTGGATTAGCAAACACAACGTGCCATTGGAACACAGGACTGATGGTTGCTGATAATGGGCCTCTGTACGCCTATGTAGATATTCCATTAAAAATAATCTGTTTCCAGCTACAATAGCCATTTACAACATTAACAATGTCTACACTTTATTTCTGATCAATTTTATGTTATTTTAAAATGGACAAAAAAATGATTTTCTTTCGAAAACAAGGACATTTCTAAGTGACCCCAAACTTTTGAACGGTAGTGTAAATTTTTCCTACTAATCCACCATGGGCATCGTACCCACAACCGTAGCACCATGCTCTACCAACTGAGCCACACGGGACCAGTGATGCAGGGCTGTGAGGGTTAAATAACCCTGCACTGGGTCAAAGGTCACGTGAGGGATTTTGGTAGCAGCCAGCAGGACAGGTGTCCATTTCTCTGTCCATCACACTCAGTCTGGTCAGGAGATCCTGGCTCCCCATTTTGTTGTGGCTATCATGATATGGCTAAATATATAGCATGGCTAATATGATAGTAAGAATTGTGGATAGTTGCATTTCTATCCTCAAGATATTTTGGTAGATCTCCATAAATCACCACCACAGAACTTCTGGTCAAAATGTGTAACATGGATATATTTGCACTTTAAATATTAGCTAAGCTTGAAGGCTTTCAATAGGGAACCACATCACACTGCTTCAGGTCACATTGGCCCTGAACTCACCATTGTGTTTCCCCAGAAATCTTTGTACTCCTTTAGCAACTGCTGATTCCGGAAAATATCTGAAAGACAGTGAAAAGGAGTGAAGAGAGCATAAACGGAGACAGTGAGTGCAAGCTCACAGCACAGACCATCATTGTAATTAATCGCAACACCACTGAGGAACCAGGTAGCCACTGGTGGGTCGTGTTCATTAGGGCCTGCACAGAAACGTTTTGTAACGGGAAATGAAAATGAGCATTTCTTATTGGACTAGCCAAGTTAGTCCGTTCTCTTCCATTTGTTACCTAATAAATATGACCCAGGCTACATGTCAATATGTAAAAACCACATCATCACACCAACTACACAGCCTAGGTTGGGCTGGGTTACAAAAAGAAAACAACACACATAATAAACAGAGCAAGTAGACGGTTATTGTACAGTTAGTCACAGAATGCACATGCAGGGTGGAGGATACCTACTCTCTTCGTACTCTCTCTCCTCCACTTTCCTGAGTTTCCGCTCTCTGTCAAGGGCTTCAGGACTTCCCCACACATCTAGAGCTCTGGAAGTCCGATTGAAATAACATTTTCGTTTCGTATACAATATGGTCTACCTATTAGCATCAATATAGTCTATCTAATAGCATCACATTGGCTTAAGGTTGCTAATGTGCAGTCAACTGTAAAGTGCATGATTCCAACAATTGATGTTAATTTTGGTGCTGTAAACACTTGTTTTTTGTGACATGATTTTACTGGTAAGTAAGGAATGTAAAATGTACTAACTTGACTTCCACGTCTGATCGCAGGAATACAGTGAATGCCTCAGTGTCGTCGTGTGGGCTGCGTCGACGGATCTTCCTTAGCTGCTCCAGGTCACTAAGGTCACACGAAAGATAAAAGAGAGAAAGAAAAAGAGAGAAAGAAAGAGGATAGTCAGAAATAGCGAGCGAGACAGAAAGAGAGACAGCGACAGTGGGCTGAGTACATCAAGCAGTCCCTGCATCAATGACTGAGCCATGGGCATGTTAACTTCCCTTAATGTGATAATTTTACATTTTAGTCATTTAGCAGACGCTCTTATCCAGAGCGACTTACAGTTAGTGAGTGCATACATTGTTTCTGGCCATTTTGAGCCTGTAATCGAACCCACAGTGTGTTTCCCCATTAGCTCAGTGGAAGATCTCCTGAGTGGCGCAGTGGTCTAAGGCGCCGCATCGCAGTGCTAACTGTGCCACTAGAGATCCTGGTTCGAATCCAGGCTCTGTCGCAGCCGGCCGCGACCGGGAGACTCATGGGCGGCGCACAATTGGCCCAGCGTCGTCCAGGGTAGGGGAGGGAATGGCCGGCAGGGATGTAGCTCAGTTGATAGAGCATGGCGTTTGCAACGCCAGGGTTGTGGGTTCGATTCCCACGGGGGGCCAGTATAAAAAAAAAATATATATGTATTCACTAACTGTAAGTCGCTCTGTATAAGAGCGTCTGCTAAATGACTAAAAATGTAAATGTAAGATTGTAATGCTAAGCAGCACTAGTATGGTCTGGAATACACTGAATTCAGAAAAGGATAGCTACAACTTCTTTCAAAGTGTACATTGCCCACGCACCAGCAGAAAACACACAAGAAATAGCAATACTTTCGCCATTGTGAGTTTTGGTTAACCTGTATCCATTAATGCCTAATTGTCAAAATTCCCTGTTATTGAGGGTTTACCTTGGCTTGAGACAGAACTCGTTCATAGCTCTGACTGCAGTGATAAAGTTGTTCTGGGTGTACTTGGATCCATAGTCCCTCTTCTTAAGCACAGCCCGCACTTTCACTTGAATTGTCTCAGTTTTTGTTAGACCTTGGGGCGTTGTTGACCCTGAGATTTTAAAAAAGAAGAGTGCCAATTTTTTTTTTTTACTGAACACAAGTGGTGTAAAGTACTTAAATAAAAATACTTTAAAGTACTACTTAAGTAGTACTTTAAAGTATCTGTACTTTACTATTTATATTTTTGACAACTTTTACTTTACTACATTCCTAAAGAACATAAATTTACTTTTTACTCCATACATTTCCCCCTGACACTCAAAAGTACTCGTTACATTTTGAATGCATAGCAGGACAGGAAAATGGTCCAATTCAAGCACTTATCAAGACAACATCCCTGATCTGGAGGACTCGCTAAACACAAATGCTTAATTTGTAAATGATGTCTGCGTGTTTTAGTGTGCCCCTGGCTATCCGTAAATTTAAAAAACAAGAAAATTGTGCCGTCTGGTTTGCTTAATATAAGCAATTTTTAAATGATTTATACTTGTACTTAAGTATATTTTTGCAATTGCATTCACTTTTGATACTTAAGAATATTTGAAACTAAATACTTGGACTTTTTCTCAAGTAGTATTTTACAGGGTGATTTTCTATTAAGGTAGCTTTACTTTTACTACAGTATGACAATTGGGTACTTTTTCCACCACTGCTGAACACAATAACTAAAAAAGACATAGCTAGATAAGTCACATTGCTTATTTACCAGAACTACTTCCAGCTGTTTTAGGGGTTAGGGTCAAGCATGTTTAAAAATAAAATAATAAAATAAAAGAGTACCAGAACATAAAGACTGATAGAGATACTTTTCAATCCTATTTTGACAATGTTCTTACTACACCTGAACATAATACTGGGGTGTATTATTAGCGGGCACCATAGCAAAACGTATTACAAACAAGTTTGCTCCTGTTTGGTTCCTAGTGAATACACATATACATATTGCCAAAACAGGACAAGCAGTGGCCATTACCTGGGGAGTCTGAGGAGAGTTGTGCAGCCCCAGCTAGCACCTTCTCCACAGTAGGCGGACTGTCTGGTCCTTGTGTAGTAGGAGGAGGGAGGCCATCCTTACTGCTGCTGGAGGTAGAATAGTACTGGACACGGCTTGTTGTTAGAGCGGCTACACGGAAGTCAGGGAGGCTGAACCACAGATTGTGCATCCCTCCATTCTGCCACCCTGTAGGGAAATGTGTGTTAGCTAAAACATACTATTAGATACACTACACACACTTTGCACTGACAGAGTGTTATGCATAAAAAATGTGTCAAGCATTGACTTGAACATGTGAGCCTCACCGTGACATGGTCGGGCAACAGTGTGGGGTCGTTGTGACAGTGGGGTTCTGTGCTGCCGGTAGACCCTGCAGAATACTTGCCATGGTCTCTGTGCCAGGCCGGGGAACATCCTCGCAGTTGCGGGCTTCGTAGAGCAATGCTGGAACTTGCTGTTTGAGTGAGAACAAGCACTGTCAGTAGGCATCGGTTGAGTTCGGCCAAACATACCTAGCTATCTACACTAAGTTAACAAGACAAACCCGACTCGCCTCCCAACGAAATCATCATCATCATGATACAACTACCATCTAAAATGATCGCAGTACCTGGATGTAGCTAGCTAATTAGCTAATAATGCCGCATCACATCAATTAGCTAGTTCTAAGTTGGCTGACCGGCTAGTATAGCTAGATAGACAACTAGTTGGCTAACTAGCTAGGTTAGCAGGCTGAGGTTCAAATGACACAGAACTTGGCATTACATCGAAAGCGCCCTGTTAACCTGGTCAATGTTATGTTATAACAGTACTGTCAATACATAAAACGGAGGGACACTGTTACCTTGCGGTCTAGCTTGCTCGCTAGCTAACTTGATCTTGGTAAGCCAGATAAAGCCAGCCACTGCCCCCGGCACTGGACGGTGAGAGGCCAAACGTTTTTGGAATACCTAGCTAGCTATTGGTTAGCTAGCTAACGTTAGCCTGCTAGCACATGCTACAATAAAGCATCTCCCTACGTATACATTCATTGTGCGTTTGTTTTGGATGGCAGATAGTCGTTGTTATTTCAGGACGGCCTTACCTTTCTTGTGTGATATTTGCTCCGCATATCTCAGTCCATTTTGAGTTATGTTAACCCGCTAGCAAGATAACCACTGCGGCCGTAAATAAATTCACTGAGACGAATGCCGCGTTGAAAGCAACTGGGAACTCGAATATCTCTGACTTCCAACTCCAGTGCGTTCAAGACAACTGTGAACTCGGAGGAAAAAAAACGAGCTCGTTTTGAACGGTTATCCAACTCGGAATTCCAAGTCAAAGGTCAAATCATAACATCAGTGATCTTCAGGTCGTAAAGTCAGAGCTCTAGAAAGATGCCAGAAATTCCGAGTTGAAATTCCAAGTTGGATGACCGTTCAAATAGATTTTTGCCAGTCGGAGCGCGTTTTTTTCGAGTTCCCAGTTGTTTTAAACGCACTGAAGTCAGAGATTTCCGAGTTGTTTGGAACGCGGCATCAGGACACTTTCTAAAGATCCGACTTTCGGACCTGAAAATCACTGACGTCACGATTTGACCTCCTTTTCTTCCGAGTTCTCGTTTGTCTGGAAAGCGTCATAAGTTATTTGCGTAGAGCTTCCTATTGTAATGGAGTTGGAGTTCCGTGGTTGCCATGGCGCCGTGCTGTAGGCAGAGAGCTTTGTAAATATTGTACATATTTTAATAATTTTAACTAGGTGTTTTATGACTGATTTTTATTTAAATAAAACGTTTTATTTTGTTAGCTAATTAAGTTATGATTGTATTTACACTACTGTTCAAAAGTTTGGGATCACTTAGAAATGTCCTTGTTTTCGAAAGAAAAGCAAATGTTTTGTCCATATTTTTTTTTTTTTTTTTCACCTTTATTTAACCAGGTAAGCCAGTTGAGAACAGGTTCTCATTTACAACTGCGACCTGGCCAAGATAAAGCAAAGCAGTGCAATAAAAACAACACAGAGTTACATATGGGGTAAAAAACATAAAGTCAAAAATACAGCAGAAAATATATATACAGTGTGTGCAAATGTAGCAAGTTATGGAGGTAAGGCAATAAATAGGCTATAGTGCAAAATAATTACAATAGTATTAACACTCTAATGCTAGATGTGCAAAATAACATCAAATTGATTAGAAATACAGTGTAGGCATCGTTAATGTTGTAAATGGCTATTGTAGCTGGAAATGGCTGATTTTTAATGGAATATCTACATAGGCGTACAGAGGCCCATTATCAGCAACCATCAGTCCTGTGTTCCAATGGCATGTTGTGTTTGCTAATCCAAGTTTATCATTTTAAAAGGCTAATTGATCATTAGAAAACCCTTTTGAAATTATGTTAGCACAGCTGAAAACTGTTGTGCTGATTAAAGAAGCAATAAAACTGGCCTTCTTGAGACTAGTTGAGTATCTGGAGCGTCAGCAATTGTGGGTTCGATTACAGGCTCAAAATGGCCAGAAACAAATAACTTTCTTCTGAAACTCGTCAGTCTATTCTTGTTCTGAGAAATGAAGGATATTCAATGCGAGAAATTGCCAAGAAACTGAAGATCTCGTACAACGCTGTGTACTACTCCCTTCACAGAACAGCACAAACTGGCTCTAACCAGAATAGAAAGAGGAGTGGGAGGCCCCGGTGCACAACTGAGCAAGAGGACAAATACATTAGTGTCTATTTTGAGAAACAGGCGCCTCACAGGTCCTCAACTGGCAGCTTCATTAAACAGTATCCGCAAAACACCAGTCTCAACGTCAACAGTGAAGAGGCGACTCCGGGATGAAAAGAAAAAGCCACATCTCAGACTGGCCAATAAAATATTAAGATGGGCAGTCTGAGATATGGCTTTCTCTTTGCAACTCTGCCTAGAAGATCAGCATCCCAGAGTATTTTTTTACTATTTTCTACATTGTAGAATAATAGTGAAGACATCAAAACTATGAAATAACACATTTGGAATCATGTAGTAACCAAAAAAAGTGTTAAACAAATCAAAATATATTTTAGATTCTTCAAAGTAGCCACCCTTTGCCTTGATGACAGCTTTGCACACTCTTGGCATTCTCTCAACCAGCTTCATGAGGTAGTCACCGGGAATGCATTTCAATTAACAGGTGTGCCTTGTTAAAAGTTAATTTGTGGAATTTCTTTCCTTCTTAATGCGTTTGAGCCAATCAGTTGTGTTGTGACAAGGTAGGGGTGGTATACAGAAGATAGCCCTATTTGGTAAAATACCAAGTCCATATTATGGCAAGAACAGCTCAAATAAGCAAAGAGAAACGACAGTCCATCATTACTTTAAGACATGAAGTTCAGTCAATCTGAAACATTTCAAGAACTTTGAAAGTTTCTTCAAGTGCAGTCACAAAAACCATCAAGCAGCAATAATAATAAGAGACTTGCTTGGGCCAAGAAACATGAGCAATGGACATTAGACCGGTGGAAATCTGAGTCCAAATTTGAGATTTTTTGTTCCAACCGCCGTGTCTTTGTGAGACGCAGAGTAGGTGAACGGATGATCTCCGCATGTGTGGTTCCCACCGTGAAGCATGGAGGAGGTGGTGTGATGGTGTGTAGGTGCTTTGCTGGTGACTCTGTCTGTTAAACAAATCAAAATACATTTTATATTTGAGATTTATCAAAGTAGCCACCCTTTGCCTTGATGACAGCTTTGCACACTCTTGGCATTCTCTTAACCAGCTTCATCTGGAATGCTTTTCCAACAGTCTTGAAGGAGTTCCCACATATGCTGAGCACTTGTTGGCTGCTTTTCCTTCACTCTGCCGTCCAACTCATCCCAAACCATCTCAATTGGGTTGAGGTCGGGGGATTGTGGAGGCCAGGTCATCTGATGCAGCACTCCATCACTCTCCTTCTTGGTCAAATATCCCTTACACAGCCTGGAGGTGTGTTTTGGGTCATTATCCTGTTGAAAAACAAATGATAGTCCCACTAAGCCCAAACCAGATGGGATGGCGTATCGCTGCAGAATGCTGTGGTAGCCATGCTGGTTAAGTGTGCCTTGAATTCTAAATAATGTGGGAACTACACATGCGGAGGTCGTCCGATCCTACACTAGGAGCTAGATTTCCTTACCACCAATTCAGTGACTTGACAACAATGCCTGTAGATCCACCTCTTCCATTTCACAGTCATTAGAAAAATCTTGCATGTTTAATAAATTGATAAGCACTGTTAAACACCCACAGTACAGAAAAAAATAGTAACTTAATCGTCTTGGTCCCAAAAATTCAAACGAGGTAAACAAAAGAGGTAACTTAAAAGAAAGAAAATGGAAGTAGAGGGCTGTTATTGAACATTGGGCAGTCAAGCTATTGCAGAGGAAAAGGGTCAAGCCACTCGTTTCCTGGTATGGTGATTCTCGCTGGTGCTGTATAGGAAATGAAGGGTCGTCGAGAGGTTTGCGTTGTTAACACATCGTAACAAACTCCTCGGACGAGGTGGGGTGAATGGCAGTAGTCTTGTCAAAGTCTGCTTTGGTTGCGCCCATCTTGATGGCTACTGCGAAGCCTTGCAACATCTCGTCACAGCCAATGCCCTGCATATGAAGGCCAACCACCTGGGGGGAAGGAGACAGGTCATTTTTGTTAGAGAGGCAGGCTAAACATGCTGTCATGAATCTTTTGTGTGTTGAGCTGAATATAGAGGGTTCTAGGGTAGTGTTTTCAATTCTGGGTTGTGTTCATTAGGGCATGCAATGTAGAATTTGAAATGTACCACAACAGAAAACTAAAACGATATTTTCCTATTAGACAAGTTTAAGTAGTCCCACGCTGTTTCAGTCCGTTCTCTTCTGTTTGGTGCCTAATTGTCACATTGTATAATGATTAGAAGACAGGCGCAGGAATACATATTAGGGTTTTTATTTACTCCACCCAACACAAACATACATACATACACCAAAGGGATGTAACCCAAACAAAGAGCGAGGTGTAACCTCCACACAATACACGGACGAGACCCGTAAACAACAAGAGCACTATACACGGTACTCACGAGACCAACAGACATGGGAACAATAATTGACAAGGACAATGGGGAACAGAGGGCACATATATACACACACTAATCAGGGGAAATGGGAACCAGGGGCCGTACCCCTCACAGTCGATGAGGTACTGGAGACGCCCTGCCCGACGCCTCGAATCCAGGACTTCACGAACCGAGTACGCCAGACCTCCCTCTATGTCAAGAGGAGGAGGCGGGGTGTCACTGGATCCAGCCTCAGCGAGGGCACCAGGCACCACTGGCCTGAGGAGAGACACATTAAAAGTTGGGTTAATGCGGTAATCAGCAGGGAGTTGCAAATGGTATGTTATCTCATTAGCCCTCCTCAGGACTTTAAACGGCCCCACAAACCGCGGGCTCAGCTTCCGGCAGGGCAAGCGGAGGGGCAGGTTCCGGGTGGAGAGCCAGACCTGGTCACCTGGAGAGAAAACAGGCGCCTCACTGCGGTGGCGGTCGGCCTGTTCCTTGTGCCGACGCACGGCCCACTGGAGACGAGTGTGCGCAGCGTTCCAGATCTCCTCAGCGTGACGAAACCACTCGTCCACCACAGGGGCCTCGGTCTGGCTTGGATGCCAAGGTGCCAGGGCCGGCTGATACCCCAAAACGCACAGGAAAGGAATGAGGTTAGTGGAGGAGTGGCGGAGGGAATTCTGCGCGTACTCAGCCCAAGGTAGAAAATGCGCCCACTCCCCTGGCCGTTCCTGACAGCAACACCTCAGGAACCTGCCCACTTCCTGATTGACCCTCTCCACCTGCCCATTAGCTTGAGGACGGTACCCGGAGGTGAGACTGACCGTGACCCCCAGGCGTTCCATGAACGCTTTCCATATGTGTGAGGTAAACTGAGGACCACGGTCTGACACAATGTCCTCCGGGATCCCCTAGTGCCGGAAGACGTGCGTAAAAAGAGCCTCCGCGGTTTGCATGGCCGACGGGAGCCCAGGCAGAGGAAGGAGACGACAAGCTTTGGAAAACTGGTCCACAACGACGAGAACGGTGGTGTTCCCCTGGGAGGGGGGAAGGTCAGTAACAAAGTCCACTGAGAGGTGAGACCAGGGTCATTGTGGAACCGGCAGGGGAAGGAGCTTTCCATAAGGGAGGTGTCTGGGTGTCTTAGACTGGGCACAGATGGAACAGGAAGAGACGTAAACCCGGACATCCCTAGCCAAGGTGGGCCACCAGTACTTCTCAGTCAGGCAGGCGATGGTACGGCCTATCCCAGGATGACCCGACACAGGCGCCGTGTGCGCCCAGGAAAGGAGGCGGTCCCACACAACCGTGGGCACGTAGGTGGTTCTCCTGTGCAGATGCGGGTTCCATACGCAGGGCCTGCCGTATGTCGGCTTCCACGTCCCACACCACTGGCGCAATGGAGGGATGATGGGGGTCTCCTCTTCCTTCCTCCTCTTCCTGCCTCTCCTCTGCCTGGGTTGAGCCAATGGTTGCCTGGATTGTTTAATCTTTGTCTGGAAAGCTTTTGTTCTCCTATTTCCAACAATGTGGATGTATTCCTACTGCTACTGAAAAAGTTAATTGATAATCATAGTAGAATGGAATTGAATGTGAAAATGAAAATGTATGCACTCACTAACTATAAGTCGCTCTGGATAAGAGCGTTTGCTAAATGACTAAAATGTAAAATGTAATGTCATAGACTTACTTAGCCTACATTCCATTTCAATGATCACTTAGTGTCAGTCTCTAAAACAAGCACCTGTGTCTGAGTTAAATGTGCATGTTTCCTTGCAGGATTTATAGAGACGAGGAGGCATCAGACTCCCTCCTGCTCCATCTGGAAGGATTCAATATTTAGCCATTCTCGGGTTCCATTTACGAATTGGGTTTAAAAAAATAATCGATAGGGTAATGAATTTGACACGCTAAGAAAGTTTTAGAAAGAGCAATTTTGACTCTGAAAAATCCACTAGTTTTGTTTACCTATATTCACTCAGGAAATATAGGCTCACTTAAAACTGTGTTTTAAATAATCAGGCTTTTGGGATTTTCATCCGTTATTACTGGACTAGGTAAAGGGGCACTCCAAGATTTTCAACATTTAGCTTGCTTTTCCAACCATCCCGACCAGTGTTTCCCACAGGAATTTAGATTACTTGTCATGTTGGCAGGCTGGGAAGGGCAGCATGGTGCGACTGGGGAGGCTTGCACCACTGCTGCTGCCCGAATTTATTATTCTTGTGAGCCTACAGTATTCTGGCAAATGAAGTAAAAGCTGTTACAAATGTGTTTTGAGTACTGTTTTTAGAGCTGCAACTAACAACTATTTTGATAATCAATCTGTCAATTATTACTTTGATTACTCAATATGTTTGAATTTTAAAAAGCCTGTTTGGTGACTGAATATTGGCTGTATGTTTTATCAAATACAAAAATGTTTGCAGGGCATTACAGTGCAAATAGTAACAATAGACAAACAAAAACTCAGTTATTTTGTGACAACGTCCATTAAGTGTCACGCCCTGGCTCTGGGGACACTGTTATGTTGAGCCAGGGTGTGTAGTTCTATGTTCTTTATTTCTATGTTGGCCTGAGTGACTCCCAATCAGAGGCAACGAGTGTCAGCTGTTTGCTGGTTGTCTCTGATTGGGAGCCATATTTAACTGTCGGTTTTTTCTTTGTGTTTTGTGGGTTCTTGTTTCGAGTTGGTTGTGTTATACCGTGTACTGTCACGTTTCCGTCTTTTGTTGTTTTGATCACGTTTCGCTTAATAAATGAGTATGTTTGCCTGCAACGCTGCGCCTTGGTCTACTCCTTACCCTGACGATAGGGACAGAAGAACCCACCTAAACTGGACCAAGCAGCATGAAGAGGAGAAAGGTTGGAATTACGAGAAGTGGAGAGAGAATTGGACGAGAACCATGGAGGCCTGGTCCACGGGGGAGAGACAAGCCCAGAAAATTTTTAGGGGGGGGCTCACGCCGTGGACGACGGGGCAGCAGGAGTACGGGATAGAGTGGTTCAGAGGGTTGGCAGAGGAGGCCGCCAGGTTAAGGGAGTTACTGGACACCAGGGGGAAGGAATATGTAGAGGCACGGTGAGAGGTACTGGGGTGTGTTGCCAGTCCGGTCCGGCCCGTTCCTGATCCCCGCTTAGGGCCAGTGGCGTGTGTTCCCAGTACGGTTCGGCCTGTTCCTGCCTCTCGCACCGAGCCTGTGGTGCGCGTCGCCCCAAGCCTGTGGTGCGCTTCGTCAACCCGTGTCGGCCTGTTCCTGCTCCCGCACCAAGCCTATGGTCCCCCCAAAGTACCCCTGGTCCGGTCTGGCTCCGCTGCCCCGAGCCAGGACTGACGACACGCACCCCTGCTTGGTACTGGAGTCAGGAACGACCGGACCGGGCTGTCGATGCGCACCCCTGGCTTGGTGCGTGAGAGGTGCCACTGTCCCGGCCTGTTTCCTGCTCCCCGCACCAAACCTATGGTGCGCGTCGCCAGCCCAGCCCGGCCTATTCCTGCTCCCCGCACCAAGTCTGTGGTGCGTTTCGTCAGCCCTGTCCGGCCCGTTCCTGCTCTCCGCACCAAGTCTGTGGTGCGCGTCGCCACCCAGTCCGGCCCATTCCTGCTCCCCGCACCAAGTCTGTGGTGCGTTGCATCAGCCCTGTCCGGCCGCTCTTGCTCTCCACACCAAGCCAGTGGGTGCGTCGTCAGTCCAGCACGGCCGTGCCTGTTCCCGCACCAAGCCAGGGGTGCGTATCGTCAGCCCGGCTCGGTCCATTCCTGCTCCACGCACCAAGCCAGGGGTGCGTATCGTCAGCCCGGTCCGGCCAGTGGCTACTCCACGCACCAAGCCAGGGGTGCGCATCGACAGCCCGGTCCGGTCCGTTCCTGCTCCACGTACCAAGCCAGGGGTGCGTGTCGTCAGTCCGGCTCCGGCCAGCGGGGCCAGACCGGACCAGGGGTACTTTGGGGGGTTGGAGAGGGAGTGGGGATCAGGTCCAGAGCCGGATCCGCCGCCAAGGCGGAGTGCCCACCCGGTCCCTCCCCTGTGGTATTTAGTTGGCGCGGTCAGAGTCCGCGCCTTTAGGGGGGGGTACTGTCACGCCCTGGCTCTGGGGACACTGTTATGTTGAGCCAGGGTGTGTAGTTCTATGTTCTTTATTTCTATGTTGGCCTGAGTGACTCCCAATCAGAGGCAACGAGTGTCAGCTGTTTGCTGGTTGTCTCTGATTGGGAGCCATATGTAACTGTCGGTTTTTCCTTTGTGTTTTGTGGGTTCTTGTTTCGAGTTGGTTGTGTTATACCGTGTACTGTCACGTTTCCGTCTTTTGTTGTTTTGATCACGTTTCGCTTAATAAATGAGTATGTTTGCCTGCAACGCTGCGCCTTGGTCTACTCCTTACCCTGACGATCGTGACATTAAGGTGTATTTCCACATGAGACAGGAGCAGTGTCAGCTCAAGACGAGTTGGGACCCTAAGAGAGATTTGATTTCGGTGCACCTTCTATAGAAGTTGAGGGTCATGGTTCCCAGGGACACTCAAGTCTTCTCACATCACTAA